GACTCCCTTTGCAGGATTTTTCAGCTTCCCATGAAATTACGAGTAATACTCATAGCTTGAGCATCTGGTCGGGAACCAGCAATTATTTTGGTGGAAGAAAAAAGTGACTTATTTGAATAACAGTAGATTTTCCAGGATTTATCAGCAAATATGCTCTGAGAGATCATCAGAACGTACTGTACAGGATTTGTAAGAATATTTTTTAATGATGTGCACAAAATTTTAATTGCAACTTCTGTCTTTTAAATATAGGAATCTTAGACGCAAAAGGTAAGATTTTCATGCAATTTTTACTGAGAATCGCTTTCGAAAACAAAATTTTTGCGAGATTTTCATGAATGAAATGCAAAAATCATGTATATAAATTGTTATATATACATTTTAAGGAATTTGTGGTATAATAATACCTGATGTCCTGTTATTGCCTTATGAAGCAGACCTGGTATTAAAAAATATCTCATGCTGAGATTGGGACATAATTCCAGCCAATTTAATAGCCACATCGCGAGTTGCTCAGCACTCAGCATAATTCAAATAAAATTGATATTTGAACACTAGTCTTACTGTAAAATTATTCTAGCAAACAGAGAAAATCGGGATATATTTACTTTGATTACCTTAAATCAGCTTAGGCCATGCGCACATGAGATGGTGATACCGTTTTATATGAAGTTTAGTGTCAACAAATTTGTTATGATTGTATAAAAAAAAAAATTACACAATATTGAAAAAGTAATTTAATGTGCAAAGCTGAGGAGAAAGGTATAGAGTCAGTGTACCCGGTGTTGTACATTTTAACACCTGAATCTTTATTTTGTATCATTTATTTTTATCCTTTTGTCATAAAATTTATATGGCAAACATAACTGATATATAGTTTATAGCTTTTGAATATACGGTCATTTACAGACATGTCAAACAGGTTGAAGATTTGGGCACGCCATTCTACCGATGCATTGTGAGAATCGCTCAGTAAGTCAAAGTTTGGGAAGCCTGAACCATCATTAATCATGATTATGTTAGTTTTTTCAGTCAGTTAGAAACAAAGATGTCTGTTTTAAAATGTCAGCATAACTTTAGGAATTTTTAACAGACAGTTAATGTACTTTTAAAAAGAACACATTATATTAATATATCTATTAATTTATTATCTACAATGTCTTATGCTACTGGATACATGTTTTTGATCATTTTTACGACACAAAAAACAAATGAAATACAAAGATTTTCGCGACACAGTAACTCCGACACTGTTGTAAATGTAAACAATCTGTAGGTGGCGCATTTTGCAAAAAAAAAATCGAAAAATTTGTAAATAGATCGATACAATGAAAAGCACTTCCACTATTAGTCCTATAACATAAGACGTTTCCGTTCATACTACGTACACTCCAACGTCTTATCGGCTTCTTCATAAGTTCCTTTAGCAAAACGCGCAGCGATTTTGAAGCGCTATATAAACCGTCGTAATTTATTACAAAAACAATATTTTGAGTAAACAGATATACAGACAGTAAATTTAAACATTTTTGCATCAATGTGCAGCAAAAAAATAAATGACTCACCTTCGTATGTAAATAAATCCAATCCAATTTCAAATCACACAAATTTCAGCCTGTCTGCTGTCCATTTCCTCCACTTCTCGGAACAGTAACAACCGAGGGCGCCCGAATCGATATAATTAAAATTCATTTTGACGAAAAAAAATTTTACAGCAGAAAGATTAGTGATCGAGGCAATCCTCAGTCACTATTAAAAAATTAATTTTTTGGGAATGATATGAAGTATTAGGATATTTTCTGTCACTTTTCTTAGTTTAAAAATATTATCACCGTTTATTATATATATAAGTAGATATGTATACACACAGATATACATACACTCAACTCCATGGTATACAGTATATAGTTGTATGAATATAATCGATTAAAGAGCAAGGACACCTCACCGTATCATCAAACTTGTTGATTTGTAAATTACATTTCCAAAAATGCTTTGAATCACCATTCAGCCACAAAATATTGCTGACGATTTTTTTCTAAAGTATTTTCTTGAGATAGATTCCTTCACGAAGAATAACACTAATGTTTCTTAACTCTTTAGATGAACCTTTTAAAATGTTAACCCCGCAAGAGCCTACAAACTTAATACAATAATGGTGCTTTATGCCCTTTATACATGTAAATAAAACAAAAGAAACACTAAGAATCCCTAAAGAAAGTCCAACACGGCAAAATTGAAAATGTTGCAGGCTTGGCCTGATTGGGCTTGTTCATGGACGGTACTGTCAAGTGCAAACTACTGACGAATAACATGGCGGATCATGGGCTTGCCACTGGTTCTTGTTGCTGGATCGTGTAGGAGTTGCGTTCATTGAACGCCGCCTTTCCTTTTTGATCTTGTTTATCATAATTTGTTCACAGAAGATTGGCCGTCCAGTTTTTTTTTAAAATCATATATGGCATTAGATCCTCTGTTCTGATTTGCTTAGCGCAGGCGGTGTACAGTAAAAAAATTTCAAATCAGGTTCATTATATATCTCGCAGTCCGTTAACGGCGACAATAATAATGAATGTACATATGTATCTTCTTCTACCGTCTAAAATTCAGTCCAAAACAGGCATCGTTTGATATGTGAGCGAGGCAATCCCCATTCACAGTCAAACATGTTTCTGCTTTTACACGGGATATACTAGTCTTGAAGATTTTTGATAAGTTTGCGAATTTTTAAGATCCAAAGTTGTGCAATTTCAGGACCAGGATGAATGCCATCAATATACAAGTTGTAATTAAAATAATATCGAGATCGTGATCCTTTTTTCGTTTTTGTATTTTTTTCTAAATCCAATGAAAATTTAGGCGTATACATGGAATTGTATGAGTCGACCAGTTCGTTAAATTTTGCTACTAAATCCTCCAGATCTTTATCATCGGAGTCAGAGAAACCTTTCAAAGTATTCCAAGTTTTCATTGAATATACCGGACATTGAAGAAATTGTACACGTGCGGAAGAGTTAATCTGTAATACTGAAGTGTGCATTTTTACCATCTTAGAAAAAACGTCTTCGGCAGAGATATTCCTGAGACTAATTGTTTTATTACGTTCTAATTTTGTAAAGTCACATGTACCAAGCCAAAGCAAGACCAATGGAGCTTTTAAATCTTTAAGCTTAACTTCAAGACGGCTTAGTAAAGCTGCATCTTCAACTCGCGCTCCACTCTTCCAAATAATATCCAAGTAATCCCTTCGTTCAAGATGACGCGATAAATACCTTCCTTTACTGTCAGTTACTAAAAAACAACGACTTCCTGTATGGTGGTAATCTTCTACAGCATCACCAAGCTTTTCGATTTGTTTTTTTAAGTTATTCACAGACATATTCAAAGTGTGAATATATTACAATATCAAAAAAGTATTCCAGTTAACTGTCAGCCAAGTTTTATATAACCTGTTACAAATCCTAGACAAAAAAGGAGAGACGAAAGTAGCGTCTTTTAATAATCCATGTTCAAAATTCACTTAAAGTATGATATTAGAATACAACGTAAGCGTACCTTAGTACTGCATGAAAGATAATAGAACTCTCACCCATGTGATGATCGGAAGATCGGAATACTACAAAGAGATAGATTTTCGGGTCACATCAATTACGTCGTCATTGAACAGAACAAGCAGGCGCTGTACATCATTTGTAATTTTGCGGACACTTTATACATACATGTACACCATTCAATAATAAATGATTGCAAACAGTTTTTCAACCAGTATATAAAATCATTATGGTCTTGATAACTGATTTTCAACGAATAATAAATTATCTAAAAAAATGTCAATGAGTATCTAAAATTATTAGTTTTTCATAAATTACTAAATGTTTATCTTGTAATAAAAAAGTAATATGTTAAGGTAGACGAAATGTTCATGTATTTCTTCTTAAAAATTAATTGCCTCTAAGTTATCACATGCAGACCCAAAAATGAATCTATTTAACGTGAATGAAATTTATTTCACGTGATCAAAAAAGCGCAAGAAGTCTTTAAAATACAGATGAACATCAACATTATGTGCCAAACAGTGCACATTAATTTCATCAGGGTATTTCTATTTGAAGGACCCTGTTTTCATTAACATATTTTCTATCATGATGTTGACAACATAAACATTTTCACGATAACATAAAAATGTCGATCCTATCTGCGAGGTTTTACTATATAGTACATATATTTACAGTTTAACTGGTTAATTAAGTTTATGTGGACAACGTAAAGCATGAACTGCAATAAGCTGTTCTATTTTAAGATGTTTGGAAAATGAAATCTTATTTCTATTATAGATATTGAACATGTCTCGCAAAACCATAAATGCAAAACTTCCAACAATTTCAAGGAAATAATATGAACCAAATAAATAACTTTTGTTTGCAAATTTCAAAGTAATATATCATTTCTGTTATATATTCCTTTCACGATGATTAAATGTCTGTGTAAACGCACAAATGAAAAAAAAAAATCGACTACATTGCACTATAATCCAATTATCAAGAGACAAACATGCAGGAAAATTAATTTCGTCTAAAGTAAACCGAAATTTTAATTAACCACATGTATACAGGTAACATGGCCGAATGTATATAGCGGTGAAAATGGTATAGATTGTATTGGATTGGATTTATTTACATACGAAGGTGAGTCATTTATTTTTTTTGCTGCACATTGATGCAAAAATGTTTAAATTTACTGTCTGTATATCTGTTTACTCAAAATATTGTTTTTGTAGTAAATTACGACGGTTTATATAGCGCTTCAAAATCGCTGCGCGTTTTGCTAAAGGAACTTATGAAGAAGCCGATAAGACGTTGGAGTGTACGAAGTATGAACGGAAACGTCTTATGTTATAGGACTATTCCACTATAGCCTAGGTCATACACTCGAAGACGAAGTGTCTGTGGAAGTCCGTCTGTTTCTAAACAAAACTCTAAACTCAACTGTTCAATACTTACCACATCTTTGAAGACAGCGAATTTTAACATTTGTAGAGATTCGTGCGCACCCAATTTTTCTTGATGGATAAAATATCGTCGAAAGTATAAAACGTTACGATTGTCTTCTTTTTTGTCAAATTGACAGTGTTTTTTTTTTTTTTACTTTTCAGTACACAACGATGAGCGCGTGCAACTTGTGTTGTAAAACGATTTTTGATTGGTTAAAATATGGGTACGTAATCAGGCGGCTACACCATTCAAGATGCGGCTATTTCCTTTGTCGGATAGAAATAACTTTTATTTCCAACCAAGGGCTATGTTAATTGATATAAAAATCACAATAATACTGAGATTAACGATCGAATAAAGATGTTATTAAAGAAAATAAAACTTGATCCGTATATATTATAGCAAAAACGATTTCGAGACATTTCGGCCCCAAGACGTATCGGCCCCAAATTACCCAAGACGGTTCGGCCCCAGACGTTTCGGCCCTTTACCAAATCGGCTCCAGAATAAGTACTGTGTTTTAAACCGGTATATTAAAATTTCATAGTTATAATAATCATAAATGACAATTTTCATGAAGTGGAACGCCAATTTCCAAGTACCTTGAAAGATTTACGATACGTCTTATATATTTTACGTAAAAGATTAAATCTTTGCCAAAACCATCAACGATTAGATACTTGTTGCATTTAATGTTAACTTCAATGTTTATGTATATCTCATAACAAATAGCTACTCGTAATTATTTCATTGATATTGAAAAATCTAACACATTTAATTATCACGTAAGGAAAGTTAGTTGTTCATGCACGTGAAAATCGAAATATCCGGTCATGTTATTTTACTATGAAAAGAAAACAGAAGCCATAATATCTATAATTCTTTTGTCACTGTCAACATTGTTTGATTAAACTAATTAATAAATATATAGCAGGTACATTTATGATTTGGTTTCAGTCTTTCAATCACTTTTATAACATCTAGCATCTATCATTATCAAATAACAATAATAATTAAAAATATTATCAGGAAATTATAGCAAACCGTTTTTTTAATCTTTTGAAGTTTTTTCTGATATTACTTACATAAAGCTATAAACAGTTAATTAGTTACACCTTGAAAAAAATACGTAGGCCTATAGATTTAGATAAAAAAATAAATTATAAATAAATAAATTAAGGATTAACCTGCCTTTATTGTTTGTTAAAAACCTTTAAAAACATTAACGTATATCTAAATGGTTCAAGAGATCAAAAGATAATAGATAATTATTTAAAGAATTAAAGGGTAATAATTGTTTAATTGTAATTAAATCAATTGTTGTTAATTAATTGTCTGTACTATAAAGTAGGGCCGAAACGTCTCGCGGAAAAGGGCCGAAACGTCCAGGGGCCGATTTTTCTACTGGGGCCGAAACGTCCTGTTTGCGCAAAAACAATGTACACCAATGTCTTCATCAATGATCTAATCCTGTAAGGGGAGATCACTGCGTAGGAGATTGCGAGAAACCCCGTTAAAGAAAAAATAACAAAATAACTCATAAATTAAATTTTACAAATTATTTCATCTTCATTGCTCATTTTCCAAATAAGTTTGCTTATCCCTTTTTCAAAGTTCGACGTACTTTTTATTATTTCATATAATATATAATTATATGAAATGCTGCGTTGACTAGTATACACTCAACATCACAAATTCCGCGTTATCATTTTTTTCACGGTAATGGCATATTTTCACGTGGTCAGTGTTAGAAAATGTCAGAATAAACATGTTTTATTCATACACCTCAACAACGAAGTTTTTGTGCAAAATATTTTAAATCTTTAGATTTTTACGTAAAACAGAACAACATTTTACAATTTTCTGCAAAAAGCAACAAGAGTCCATTAAATTTGTACATACATCTGAAACAATCATCAATTTCTAATTGTTCTTGTTTGTCAAAACGTTTAGTTTTGAGTTACAATGTAAAGATAGTTTTAATGTTAAAAATTGAGCAATATAACATTTCGAAATTTTAACTGAAACCGGAAAAAACTATAGTGTAACACCGTTTACCGTGATTTAAATGATGACATACTGTTTTCGAAATGACCGACAGATGGTCTATGTCTGGTCTTTTTAAACTGATTTCGACTGAATATATCATTGTTCCAGCTCCCTTGTGTCATACTGCAGAAAATCCCTATATGCTACAGCTTATGACAATTTTTGTGCCGTAAGCTTCACTTTCAAGTTTTCTTTCTTGTTTCAAAGTGTTAAGTACCGTGAACTAAGTGGAGCACAGTATAAAAGCATTACAATGAAGCTCGCCTTCAACTTAATTGAGTTGCATTCCTCGCAAAATCATCTTTTGTGCAGACTTGACTTTTTTACATGATCTCTATTTGTAATCTGTGAGAACATATCCTTATCTTTGTAAAACAATTCTAATAATATCTTTAGCCTTGATTTCTGCTAAATAATGTTAATATTAGTTCTCTTAACGTTAAACGATAGCCCAACACTTTCACTGAATAAATAAAGTTTAACAAGACACCTTTGTAGATCTTTAACACTGCTAGACAAAAGACTTACATCATCTGCATATAACAAGCAATTAAGGGGATTGGCACCAAGCATAACTGGATCATCTCCATTATCAAAGCATGATGTTAAATCATTGAAAACCAATGTCAACAAGTTTGGGCTCAGGTTATCGCCTTGTCTTAAACCGGTTTCTGGAGTAAAATAATGACTAAGTTCCAAGACGAACATGAATTTTATTCTTATGACACATAATTGTATAATTGGTAATTGGACTGCAATCATTTCATTTTAAAATACAATCTAAACACACAGCCTTTTATTTTTAAGTTTACTTAATTTTAGCCTCTTAATTTAATTTCTTTCTGATCAATTCTGAAATCAAAATTTGTAAATGTTTTAAAATGTTCAAACTCGTGACTTTAGGACTGAAATTTCTTGTCAATTTCATCAAATCTTTGTTTAAGACAAAATAACTCTAACAAAAATATTCTTTCCAATTTTCAGGAAAAATATTAAAAGATGGATCAGTAGAGTCAGAATTAGATTTCTTTAATTTATTTACAAGAGATTAATACTGTTTGGGGTCATTTTCAGCCACATTTTCTAATTGTGTTAAGATTTTATGTTGGAACTGTCTTTTTTTCTTTTTTTACAGTTTTTAATTTAAAGTTTCCTATATAACAATATTTATAAAAGTTTTCTTTAATTTGGGAATCAGTGGGATGTTTACAATATGCCAAACTTGTTGATACATTTGATTAAGATCTGTGTCAAATTATTTTTTCCTATTCACCTTCTTTTTATTTTTACTTATTTTGACCCGCTTTAAGGTTTCAATTTAAATTACTGATGAAAAGGTCGTCTAATGATACTTTAAACAAAAGACTTTTGTATGCGCTTTTGGATTAGTATGTCCTGCATATTTATCAAATCACGTGTTACGTTCTAACCGCTTTAAGTCATGCCAAAATTACTGTTTTCGGGTTAACAAAACTTGAAATCACGTTTATTAAAGCCATTAAGTATGAAAATAGAAAGAGAATATTAAATAACCATACAATTCGCATTCAAGACATCTAATGTGTTCAGTGCTTTAAAAATGGCTCTAGCAAACCTTCGTACATATAAGAGATAATTTTTAAAGGAAGATATATTCAATGGACGCATTACAGCACACTTAAATTCAAGAGATGGTTAAATTCTTATGCTTGTTTACGAAATTTCTTTTGTCAGAATCGAATCCACCAGTCAATGCGTAAATGCAGAAATGTTCAACTTAATTACTTAAATTCACCATTGCATCGGTTATTGATCTAAATAAACTATCCTAAACTTAGAATTAATCATTTAGATTATATCAATTTGTTAATGAAGTTGTTGAATTCTGGTAAAATATGTTCTTTCGTTATTGCTTTTTTTTGCCCTACGCAGCTGAATGCGCATGCGCGTTATGCTACTTCCGTTTCTATGGAAATATCGTATTGTAAAAAGGTCTATACATACTTTACAGCAAATGTTTTTGTTCTAATGTGTTGCAATAAAATATGTTTGTTTTTAAACGTTGACAAATTATTAAACTTAAAAAAAAAACAGAAAAAAAAAACTAAAAACAGTATCAGAAAGAACAATGTCTTCTTCTCACATCAATGATAAAAGTTAAGCGACTTTATTCTCGGATATGTTGTAATTTATCTATATAAAAAGAACAGAAACGATTCAGTCTTGTTTAAATAAGTAAGGAAGTGTTATGTTTTGGTCACACAGTGATAATTTGATCACACGAGTTAAAGAAGGAAAATTAAAACAGGCGCAGAGAATTATCTTAAACTTTGTCGATGAAAATATACTAGTAGATCTTCTACTTTAAACCGGTCTTGATTGTTTGTTCCGCTTTATTAAAGGGACTATGACGCCACGGGAACTATTATGTTATGCACCATTTGATAAAGTCTAGTGCAAAATTTAACATCATTCTTTTACTACTTTTGTCAAAACAATTATTCTTATTGGAAAAATGATCTAATTGCTAAACGCTTTTAACTGGTATTGGAATGAAAGTCGGACAGAAATACGATTTTAGATTTAATTGTAAATATATATTTTAATTATTCAGTGAAAATCTGTGTCACAGGGTGAGAAAAATGTGCAGCCTGACCCGGACCCGGGACCTTCGGAATACCGTTCCGCGGCTCTACCGACTGAGCTATCCGGCCGCTTACACATCTTCTCTCCTAAATATTGAACAGTTCTGAACTGTGACATACTTCACAACAATATTGAAATTCGTTCTCGAATTTCACAAAGATACAGGGCAATGCTTATTGAACTATGAGCTAGAGGCCGTCACAGCCCCACGTTAGGCGCCAAATGTCACAGGGTGAGAAAAATGTGCAGCCTGACCGTGGACTCGAACCCGGGAACTGCGTTCCGCGGCTCTACCGACTGAGCCTTCCGGCCGCTTACACATCTTCTCCCTTAAATTGTGAACAGTTCTGAACCGTGACATCTGTTTTAATTACTGCGAGTGATCTATTGTAAAAATTGAAATTTATGTTGACTTTAGTGAATAGAATTATACACATTATTTAAAAAGGATAAAAACAACAAACATTTCGATATACTGTAACAAACTGTATTTCAGTTTTACAATAATAATTAATACGCATACAATTTCAGTTACAATATATATTTAATACAAATACATGTTTATAATGCTATAGCAATAATTCACTTATTCCAGATTGTATATTCACATTGCATCCAGTTTGCATATGTGTTACTACAAATGACAAGAGTTGGAAAAGCTAGTAAAAACAGTTCATATCAAAACACGAAACTTCTATATGCTTGATAAATTACATACATATACATATCTCTACTTTATTCACGCCAGAATGTATGAAAGGTCGGAGTCTACATCATTTTTCTTATGATAGTTTTTGTCATGATTAATAATAAAATTTTGGTGTTAAAGTATAGTTCATATCAACATATATCTTATTTTAATTAAATCACTCAAAGTTATATCATATCAGATGGTATTGTATTGTTTCCAGAATAAACCACAGATTTTCGTCTTGTCCATGTTTACAACAGGTCTAACCATTTCACAACCCACAACATTTCTTTAGTTATTTATTTACAATGCTAAATCTAATTCCAAATTCTAAGCAGAAAACCATGCATCGATTATGACCAGCATGTGGTATCTATCAATATTAATATTAAATATACTAAATGTAAATATGAAAATGTCATCTGTATAAGGAATCAAGCGTGGTCGGTCTAGATCTACATATACAAGAAATTATTAAAAACACCAGGAAATGGCCTATGAATATTCAAATACAGTTTTTGTACAAGATTTTAACAATGTAAATGTAGTTTAAATCGTGATTCATATAACCCACTCCCCATGAATTGGAACAACAAAATATTAGAACAACACCTGACGTTAAAACATTTTTATACGTTACAATAAAGTAAATTATATAACCCTTGTATCATTCGACACACTTGTATGTTGAGTATAGCATACAAATTATATAAACTAATATCGGAACGCCCACATATCCGTGTTTTATAACATCAACGAGTGCCAACCAAACTACAACCGAACTCTTTGATCTTGCATTAAAATTTAACATCCATTGATAAGCACAATGCAAACATCACGTTTCATAATGACTAAACTTATTACAATCGTAGTCGAAATATTGAGAGAAAAAATGTTTTCAAAACTGGACAATTCCATCCCGCGTTACTTGCATAGCTACTTCCGAATAAGATGGTGGTGCATCAAGTCCTCCTTGGTTACCCGGAAGCTTGATTTCCGGTCTAAATATAGTTTTACATCGCTGAAAAACACATAATTTCATTCTAATAAGATTCTAAGTAAAATTACATGCACAGTTGTACTTTCAAATGAAATAAGTGAATAGTTTAATAAGTGAATTAATGTGATCTTACAATTTGGCAAAAAGAAATGTAAGAAGTAAGTGTTCATTTTTAGAATTGATAAAAGACTGATATACTGCATAACTATCTTTATATATTAATAAACATAACTTTGTCAAGCTTTAACGAATGACGTCGACAATTTATTGTAATAAATCTGCATGGTTTTGTCACTTTATGAATGAAAATAATATTCACTATAAACTAATTGAAAGTCTTTCTCTAAGTTATTTTTATTTTCATCCCTATTAAATATATAGTTCTAGAAAAGAATAAACATGGATACCTCTACAAATGTTCCTGGGGTAACAAGAAGTAGATATATCATATACGTGGGTATAAGCCCGACAGAGGAAAGGGCCATCATTGCCCCAATACCGTGAGCCCACGTAGGGTATTCGTACGTTAGATATTTCACAGGTTCAAACTTCACAATGTAAAATAGAAACACACCCTGAAAAAATATATTACCATTTTGATCGGAGTAGTAATATGTTTTGAATGATCTAATAATAATTACGAAGAAAAGAATATTCTGTTTACAGTCTACCATACTGATATCATATCACATGACTTTGTATTGAGTTGTATCGTGAAAAACATAAATTCATAATTATTATAATTAGAATAAGAAGAGTAAGAAAGGTGACTTCTTCAACACTGTCAGTCCGTCTACATTTCTACTTCACAGTCGGTTATATCTTTTCATGATTATTGTTTATTTGCAAGAGAAAATATTAATACGATAAAGACACAATATGGTCATCATTTAGAATATTTGCTGTTTAAACGAAATATAAAACAACACTAACACATATATATGAGCCGCGCCATGACAAAAACCAACATAATGCGTTTGCGACCAGCATGAATCCAGACCAGCCTGCGCATCCGCGCAGTCTGATCAGAATCCATGCTGTTCGCTTACAAACCTTATAACAAGTAGAGAAACTGATAGCGAACAGCATGGATCCTGATCAGACAGAGCAGATGCTCAGACTGGTCTGGATCCATGCTGGTGTTGGTTTTGTCATGACGCGGCTCATATATAGAAATAGTAAAAAGATGAAATTTTAACACATATAAGTTCTTTTTTATGCAGCCTAGATTGTCATGGATCGAAGTAAATAAAAATTGATGTAGCCTCATGATGATTGTAAAGGAATATAATTTTTACCAAACATATACTTGGTGTTGATATTAGCCAAGCAAACTTCCAGAAATTACTCGGATAGAATCCAAACATCGAGTGTAAATTATCGTAGAAACGATTCACGCCTAAAATGAAAAATTTTGTAATATAATAATAAAAATCTAGCTAGAATTTCCCCAAATATCTGTACAGTGTCGCTACACACGTGGCAAGATATTAACATTGCGGCGGTTGTTAGAAAAATAAATTAACATAGGTTCTCTTAAATTCTGAAGGTAAAATAATACTCATACATTCTTTTGATGTGATTTTACTTACGAAATTCTCATTTATATAAAATGAAACGTTTGGAAATTAATTTTAAATATCAATGGTCGTCATCTATAATAATGAATTACTCATCAATGTAATACAGGATGATATAATTGAGCCGTGTCATGACAAAACCAACATAGTGCGTTTGCGACCAGCATGGATTCAGATCAGCCTGCGCATCCGCGCAGTTTGATCAGGATCCATGCTGTTCGCTATTAGTTTCTCTACTTGTAGTAGGGTTGGTAAGCGAACAGCATGGATCCTGATCAGACTGCGTGGATGAGAAGGCTGGTCTTGATCCATGCTGGTCTCAAACGCACTATGTTGGTTTTGTCATGACGCGGCTCATATTGTAAACTATAATACGTACCGTAACCCCAGGACACGGCAATGCATTCAAAAAATATAAGCAACAGTAGACACAAACCACTGGCTGCATAGAAGTCAAATAGTTGATACATGAACATCCCGCCCTGTAATTATTTGTACAAACAACATGTTTTACACATTTCTCTCTTTTTAGTTTCCTTTTTTAAGCCAAGTACTTGCTGCCAAATAATTGTATTCAAATAATTTTTTAAAAAAGTCTAAATATTTTAACAGGATTTAACATTTTCCATTTCATTTCACTATTTTCAAATATATGACGATGTAAGTATGGTTAATTTTCACATTATATACCTGACACTCTATAATAAGACATTTATTATAGTACAAAAATGAATATACCTCTGTAACGCATGACAACCCGACCAGGTAGGACAAGAAGCAAATGATGCCTATGAAAATCTCCCGATGTTTCCCGAGCACTGACGGAAACTCGTCAATCAAAGCAGTAAAAAAACCTTCCATTGTCACAAACTGAAATGTAGATACAGTTTAAAACAAGTTAAATGTTGATGCTGCACATCAAAGACGCCGCCAAATGATGTGAACAGTCACAGGTAATGTACAAAATCAGAATTGAAAATCGTTCTCTATTACAGTTGAATATCCGAAGCACTTATTAATTTTTTCTCCATGTTCTTGGAATGTGTCTGAAATTCTGAATTGTTTGTCTGTTGCGACAAAGATTGAAACGTCTGGTCGAAGCAAAATAAATTGGATAACAAGTGAAATTGAAATGATTGGTAAACTTAAAATAAATTCAAGACAATATGTGCCAAGAATATGTCCATTTAAATATTGATGCGAATTGCATAATGTTCGAATGATTTTGAGGACGAACTGTCTGTTATTTTACAAATATCGAAAATATGTCAAATAATAGTTATGAATAAATTGATATATACATGTATATAATCAATTCTTTGTTACGTATTGTTTACTTATTTATAAAAGATTAAACTACTTAGGTAAACAGAAGATTGCATATTCGCCTAGAATCTAAGTAGGGACCACAAAATGTAATAAAAAAGAGAACAATCGTCGGTCACAGAATCCTTCAAAATAACCTCCCTCCCCTCACCCCCGTCAACGAAGACTAAATGCTATTATATTGAATTTGGCGAATTTGGAGACGAACTTCACCAGAGGCGGAGCAAATGAATTGAGTGACACTGCTTCAGTCGTTACTTCTCTCAACGGTTAAGTTTTAGAACAATCGACTATTTATATATAGACTGGCTCATTGGCACGTTATTTATTAGGTAGATAAAATTAGCTAATTATAAAAAGAATATGATATTCAAACATGACACTATCACTTCACTTAAACGTTTATTTTAATCCCTTAAAGCTCTGTGACATGTTGTACATCAGAAAAGCTATTTTTATTAGAAAATTTGAAAACAATGTGATTTTGTTAAAACAACAAAAATGCACAAAATCAAGTCTAAAATTTTTCCCATTGTTATACAAACAAATGCATATATACTATAATAAAGTCTCATATTTTATAGTGTTTACGGTAATTTCTCTAAAAGGCCAAACCAATTCTATTGTGGTGTTATGTGTTCATGTTTGTCTTTTGTTATAAGTGATTGAACTGGTTTTGCAAGTTCATTGATGGGTGATTGATTTTGTATGAAATTGTGAAATCTATTGTAATTATTGCTATTCTGAATGTATTTTATGATTTGTCTTCTCTTTCTAGCCTTATAACCTTTTTATTTGTTATAGGTTCTTCTTGTACCTGAAAACATCGAAAACCTCAGTAAGTGTTTATTGTCAACAAACTTCACCACTACAGAAATGTAGATCATACACTAAACATGGATTATTATAAAAACATGCTTTGTTAATATATTTATACTAAAGATACCAAAGAACATGTGTCTAACATGTCTAACATGTACATGTATGCTAATAATGTATATTAAACTTGTATGTATCGGCCATGTGCAGGTATTGCTTAACTAGCGTTTGCCAAGAACTGGTCTCTCTCGAAAACAAGCAATGTGGTAACTGCAGGTAGACAAAATAGACTGTTACATGTCTGCATTTTTTACACGAAATGTCATAATTGCCAGTTCGACTTATCTTAATCAATGTATCGCTACAAGTTGGATACCTTACTATCATAATTATCACAGTTAGACTGTATCTAAATCAATTTGGGATGCCTGATCGTCCTTATTTTTGACTGTAACTTAATCGATAATTGGTCGACTTTGGAATTTTACCACAGTTTGACTGTAACTAAATCGACGTACAATCAAATATAAAGTACCTGGCAGTCATAATTAACATAGTTTGACTGTATCTAAATCAATGTATGATCAAAGCTTGAAGACCTCACTGTCCTTATTAACACAGTTTGACTGTATCTATATATGTATTGTCAAAGTTTTTATACCTGACTGTCCATACCGAGCATGAGTAGCATCAGGAAGAAGAGTACCGACCACAGTGGTGATATTGGTAACTGGACCACAGCGCTAGGATATGCTAAAAATGTCAAACCAGGACCTGAAAATTGTATTACATAAATATGTAAACCAGTCAACACAGACAAACACGGTGTAACAAAGTATGAGAGTGTAAAATTGAATTTTGTTGATTACATGTAAATAGAAAATGATCAAATTCTCTAAGTTAATTTTAAATGACTTTAATCATATTCATGCTTATACAAAACTATTTTCTCAAATCATACGTGAGTTTTAAGAATTTTACTCTATAAATGTACAAAGTGCGGTGTTTTTATCTCTGAGGTAATACACACCTGACGCCGCCACCTCACTGACCGGAAGTTGCTGTTCACGTGCCATGAAACCAATCACAGAAAATATAACAAACCCAGCAAAAATACTCGTGCAACTATTCAGTATTGAAATGCATATTGCATCCCTGAAAATTTTAGCAAAATTAATTAAAGATAACAAATAATGAGCTTATAAGATACGTAGAAAGATACAGAAAATATTAATAGTGTTTATTTCTACTTTATTTTCTATTTCAATTTTTGTTGCCATAGTTTTTGTTTTGTTTATTACTTATTTTCCTGGTGTAACCATTGCATAAAATATAACGGTGAAATATATAATCCGATTTGTAATCATTATCTATCAGATTTCCATCCTTTCCACCAAAAAATATACTTTATTATGTTTTTTCTTTATCTATCTTCTATTATAATTGAGCCGTGTCATGACAAAACCAACATAGTGGTTTTGCGACCAGCATGAATCCAGACCAGCCTGCGCATCCGCGCAGTCTGATCAGGATCCATGCTGTTCGCTATCAGTTTCTCTACTTGTTATAGGGTTTGTAAGCGAACAGCATGGATCCTGATCAGACTGCGCCGATGCGCAGGCTGGTCTGGATCCATGCTGGTCGCAAACCCACCATGTTGGTTTTGTCGTGACGCGGCTCATATATTAAAACGTTGACTTACTTGTATACGTTGTTGTGGTACTTGTTGTAACTGCCGAGAGCAATGAGAGAGCCTAGACCCAGTCCGTAAGAGAAGAATACCTGTGTAACAGCGTCAATCCATACCTGTATACATTCATATACAAAAATATCAGTATTCACTTCACACTAATGAACCATTCCCAACCCAAAAACAGTGCGGGGAGGTATCAGGAAAAGTGAGCTGTAACTTAACATCCCTTAAGTCTGCGCACTCCCCTTTTGTTTTCAATTGAAATAGCGATGAATGTGTCCAACTTGCATCGGTGCGCTCTTATGAGGTAGGTTCACAATTAAATGGTAAGTTAACATATTAATTAGTATAACAAAATGAAGTGCAAGCATGATTAAGAAATGATGTTGACTTAAAGAATACAATGTAATTTGTCGGAAAACTTCAACAAAAAATAACAAAATGAAAATATGTGTCAATGTTCAGAAAGTATGGAATGAAATTTGGTGTACAAATATTGGAGCTAGAATGAAAGGAATAGTAAAACGTCATAGTCTATTTAAATGATGCTAACTTCCTCATCTAATCGAATAACGTAAACATCATGATCTACGCGAATAACATAAACATATCATGATCTAATCGAATGACGTAAGCATCATGATCTAATCGAATAACGTAAACATCATGATCTAATCGAATAACGTAAACATATCTTGATCTAATCGAATGACGTAAACATCATGATCTAATCGAATGACGTAAACATCATGATCTAATCGAATAAGGTAAACATATCATAATCTAATCGAATAACGTAAACATCATGATCTCATCGAATAACGTAAACATATCATGATCTAATCGAATGACGTAAACATCATGATCTAATCGAATAACGTAAACATATCATAATCTAATCGAATAACGTTAACATCATGATCTAATCGAATAACGTAAACATATCATGATCTAATCGAATAACGTAAACATCATGATCTAATCGAATAACGTAAACATATCATGATCTAATCGAATAACGTAAACATCATGATCTAATCGAATAACGTTAACATATCATGATCTAATGGAATGACGTAAACATATCATGATCTAATCGAATGACGTAAACGTCATGATCTAATCGAATGACTAATGACATGATCTTATTTAATGACGTCAACCTCATGGTGTAATCAAATGATGTGAAGATCATGTATATGTTTGTGTTCATCCGTGGTGTTCTACAGAAATTAAAAACTTATAAGTGCCCAACTTTATTTTTCATCCAATGTAAACGCTACATGTATTTCTTAAAAATTATGTGCGTTAATTTTTATAGAAGAACGAAAGTCGATACTATATCGAATTCCGTCCATAGTCTACTTCTATTTTTCTCAGTACTTCATAGAACCTCATGGTGACGTAATAAAGTGAATGATAATGAGGCCAAATAAAGATTGACACTATATAAGTATGTTAGTATTCATCCGTACCTGTTCTACAGGAATTAAAAACTTTCTCCTGTCGCTATCGCTCCCGTCGAAGTTTCTAATTTCTGTTGAACAGAACGGACGAACACTAACATATATACTTTGAAAATGAAATACTTCAATATTGATATGCATTGAAAAACAAAAACGCCGGAAAATAGTAACTGAACATATATGTTTAGGACATTTGATAAAATAAAAGCATACACTGGAATTTGTTATCTTCTCAAAATCAGGAAATAGGTAGAACCGGATACCGTTCATGGCTCCCGGAAGTGTCACCCCTCGTATCAATAAGATAGACATTAGAAAATACGGAAACAAGGCAGTTACATACACCACCTGAAAACAGATATATACGTGGGTGGAGAAACATTTGAATTGTCTGAAGCAGGAATTATCTTAAATTATCTTGTAAAGTGAAAGGTTAATTGTTGATAGCATTAAATAACTCATTTATAAATACAGTGGAAAGCCTTGACTAGATCCGAACATTAATCGTAAATCCGGAATCCTTTCTTATCCTCGACAGAATGTGTCCGGTCCCGATTTTAATTCAAGTTCTTTTTATTTCAAATAGTAAAAAACCTTTCCGGATCCGAACCATGTTCTACTTCCGAATTCGGAACGATTATTTCAATTTGTTCTTTTTTTACTCTAAAATTTACCTCTCGGATCCGAACAGATTTTTGCCAAAATGTCACACCTTCATTAAAATAACAAATAATCGCACATCTTGCAGGTGTAAACATACACCAAACTGATAAGTGTCATTTCGCTGATTAATAGGTGAAACGTATGATCTGCGAAGGTGTGAAAATTACACTTAGCTTGCCTTGATATCTTCTATAATTGCTTAATTGATTGTTTTTCGTCAGCTTCTATAAATATTTTGATATAGATGCAAATAAGAAATATCTTTTTAATCCTTTGGTAATGGATTTCAATTGATACAAACTGTCAGTGAATTCGGACAGTCGCAGATTCGGATAAGAGTAAACAACAATTGACAAATGCTGGTACGAATATTAAATGATGTCTCGGCCTCCTGTTTAACATCGTAGGTTAACTTACGGAGACATAATATTTTTGCTTATCTATTTATTTTTATTTCTTTATTTTTGTATTCACATGTATTAAAATGAAAGATAAGAGACTGCAAAAATAAAATATCTAAATTGAAATTTCAAATGCATTCCCGTCTTCTTTCCTTAAACTTTTTTGCAAATAACAAGAAACAAACATGTAAAAAAACCTTCTAATTCGGAAACCTTTCTAATCCGGAAACCTTTCTAATCCGGAAACCTTTCTAATCCGAACTTTTCTCCTGGTCCGGACAAGTTCGGATTAGACAGGTTCCACTGTACATTTATTTCGTCCGTAATCAAATTAATGTAAATAACTTTTAATAGGAAGGGAATTTTCATCAAGAACAAGTTTCAGCAAAATAGAACCACTAAAAGAATATTAATCTTATTCAAACTTTCAAACTTATTGGAATCTAGAAGCATTAACATAAGTTAGTATAACAGGACGATGTGTCAGACATAATTTTTCAACATTATATCACATATAATACATATGTTATGGTTTACCTTGCCGGTCCATTTAATGCCTTTCCATATACAAAAGTAACACATGATCCAAACTAAGAGTAAACACAGAGCAATCTGCCATCTAACGTTACCAGGATGGTCAATACCTGGAGATATCTGTAGCACGTATCTCCTGTCAAATATCAACACAATTAATGTTGCTATTTTAATGGGATATTAAAATATGTTAGTTGTTTTTAAGTTATTTAACATACAATGTTGTTTGTCCATTTTTTAAAATTTCATAATATAAACGTCAGAAAGTATTAAAGGAAAAAAATGGTTCAAAGGTAATTTTAGATATTTTTCCGTACAGTTTGACATGTTTATTGAAATAACATGACAAATAAAAGTACATAAATTCGCTAAGGCCTTTATTTAGTATATTACATATGTATTGAATGCATTTCAATAAAAAAAAAGAAAGCGAACTAACGAAAACTCTCTTTAAATGAAGATAAAAAAAACACCAAAAACATGTAATAGTTTAAGACTTTACGATCATTGCACCATTTATATCAGCGCGTTGACTTAAATTTTTACTTTAAACCATCTTAAACAATAACGTGGAAATAAAATAAAGTATACACACTCCCAGAACTCTCTCACTGGTGAAGAATATTTGGTACCATCATAGAATTGTTTACATGTAAACTCAGAGACGTTCCCGTACAACACCGTTATGTTAGAGTAGTCTGTTGTGTTAATCTGAAATATAGACACAAATATCCGTTCATTCTCGTTTGTGAACTTTCTGTTGAAAATGTTTCAGAGTTAAATCGTATACATATATATGCACAGTAGGTTAACTGGCGTGCAGGTGAACATACTGCCGCATATAGCATACTGCGTCGCGGCATTGCAGATACCCGCACTCCAGAGCATGCCCATTTATTGGCTCATTTTTTTCTTGGGTTTACTTATTGTGACGACAGAGAAAGGGATAGCGATAGAAATTTCACATTCAGATGGTTACTTTTTTCTGGGGTTTCATACTGTGACGACAGGGAACGTGTTTTTAATTTTGCCTATGATACAAAAGAGAAAAAACATCAAAACATTCAGTCAAAAATATGGACAGAAGTTACCGAATCAAAGTATTCGACAAAAAATATTATAATGTTTTAGATATCTTTAATTTAAGTGAAACAATAAGTGACCCAAATGAAGGTTTTATTCAAAAGTAACAGTTTCTACTTGTATAGAAAATTGTCTTATGTTTCAAACATATAGATTCTATATGGTTAACTTATTAAAGGATATTGACATCATTATTTAGTTTCTGTGTATCAGAAATGTATATCAGTATTGTAGATCAGTATTGTAATCAGTATTGTATATCGGTAGTTTATATCAGTATTGTATTTCAAAATTGCAGATCAGTATTGAAAATCAGTATTGTTAATCTGTATTGTATATCAGTATTGTATAACAGATTGTAATCAGTATTGTTTATCAGTATTGAAAATCAGTATTGTATATCAGTATTGTATTTCAGAATTGTAGATCAGTATTGAAAATCAGTATTGTTTATCAGTATTGTAATCAGTATTGTATATCGGTAGTTTATATCAGTATTGTATATCAGAATTGTACATCAGTATTGTTAATCTGTATTGTATATCAGTATTGTATAACAGATTGTAATCAGTATTGTTTATCTGTATTGAAAATCAGTATAGTATATCGGTATTGTAATCAGTATTGTATCGGTAGTTTATTTCAATATTGTATATCAGAATTGTACATCAGTATTGAAAATCAGTAGTGTAAATCAGTATTGTAATCAGTATTGTTTATCAGTATTGTATATCAGTATTGTTTATCAGTATTGTATATCAGTATTGTTTATCAGTATTGTAAATCAGTATTGTAATTAGTATAGTTTATCAGTATTGTATATCAGTATTGCTTATCAGTATTGCAGATCAGTATAGTATTTTAGTATTGTTTATCAGTTTTGTATAACAGTATTTTGTATCGGTATTGTAGATCATTTTGTAAATCAGTATGTACATACAATGTACATGTATTGTATATTAGTATAAGTAAGATGAATGTTTACCTCAAAAGTGAAGGTGTCGTTGGAACATCTAAATGGGATGTGATCTCTGTCATAGTTTGACATACATTTCTGTGTGTTCCACCAACTGTTACAATGTGACCATGGTAATACAGCAGTGAAGGAAGAAAACAAGTAGAAAATGCCCCATGCTAATATAACGATATAGAAAATGTTCAACCAGGCAGCCATCACAGCTGCCGCATAACCAACACCTGAAATAAGTATAAATGATAAAATTGTATGAATAAAACAACGATGTCCAGAATCATACCCCTTAATTATATATTGTTAACATGTGAAACCTTTCTGGGACAGTAGATAAGTCATGTTAATATAAATATACAAATACAGATATTAAAATTGGTTTTCATCCAACTACGGCCCATTTTCTTAGTTTTTGCTAACGTTTTCTGTACAAATTTTTAATCAGAACAACAGCTTACCCCTGAAAGCAGGTGAAATTCTCCATACCCCTATACCGCCAATACTAAGCCACTGACCCAATGCCAGCTCCATAAAATACATTGGTATTCCAGCAAATAACACAGTCAGTAAGTACGGCAGTAAAAACGCTCCTGAAATAGTATCGATACATAATCGATTATTAGATAAGTAATATTTCGATGTACTGCATTTCTGTAAAAGACATTTTTATCACTTTGATATAGAACTTCACTGGTTTATTGTTGTTTTGTTGTTGTTGTTGTCATGACTGAACTGGAAGTAATGTTTATAGTGTTTGGTATAGATCTATACCTCATGTTTTTACAGAATAGTCATTTCGTATTGTGCAAATGACCTAAATATGTGAAGCAAATTAAATCAGACTAAGAATCGCGCTACATATCGATTTTCAAATTCATTCTATTTGTATATCACTTAATTATCTTTTTCAAATGTTCCGTATTTATTGCCCACGTCAATTTATGTTAGAATTTTAAATATAATGATGTAAGGCATTAGGAGCTCAGTAGAGCTGCTTCAAAATGAATTGTTTGGTTTTGTAAGGATTATCCTTTTACAGACGTTTATCCGAAAGATAAACTGATGATTTATCAAGTCAACAAAAGAAATATATGTTTGCAAAAAACACACTACATTTTTGTATCATATTGATGTGTTCAATTTTTTTCTAGATTTTAAATGCTTCCATCGAGATACCAATACACTTATGTCAAAATTTACATAAAATGATGTTCTGCAATACGTATAAGGAGCCCTATTATATAGCAAGGGCAGAAAACAGCAGAGACATTTGTCTAGCAAATTTACGTGCTACATGAGTTTTTTGTTGTTTATTAAGGACGAGATACATGCAAATATGGTTAGCTCATTCACAAGCTTAAAACACCATGGCTAGTGTACAAAACTACATTTCCGCCTAACTTTTACAAGGAAGTCGCGCTCCCTCTCTTTACTGTAAATTTTCTTTGCATTGTCTCAACAAATGGACCAACTATTGTTCAGTTATAAAAACGGCATCATCTATCCGATTGTGTCTTGAATAATCTCCAAATAGCTTGTACAATAAATTCTTAATTATTGCTAAAGATAAAATACCATTCCCATCAAAACGAACTAAATACCTCAAGATATTCATGTTTGATAACATTAAAAAGGTTCAGCTTGATAAAAATATCAGATATAAAAAGCATTGGTTGGTAGCAGTCTAAGAAACATAGTATATACACCGCACTCAAATGGTCTTTCAATAGCTTTAACATGCAACCTCTACAGACTTAAAACGCTCACAGACTTCGCATATCTGCAACGTTTTATAAACCGGCAATCTCAAGATCGGTTGTCTGAAATGTTCTCTGTAAGCCCATTTAATTATCCGTCGAAAACTTTATTTACTTTGAACCGGAAAACAGAAAAATAAATTTGAAGATACATTTTTCCTTCACGAAACTTATTTTGATATTTGTAACCATCATTTCTAGTACTTTATTTGTTGACCTACTACTTTATTCCATGACCTATTTTATAAAAGTACCATTTAATCATTCCGTATTGCAAAATATATATTTGCTTGTAATAGAAATAGAAATATAATCATGATGGGGAAAAACAACACATGAAATTCATGGACCGAAGTGTAGAAGACGTAAATGTCAGACGTAAAGATATTTATATATGAAATATATAGGTCGTCAAGTAATTCCGTTCTTATATCAGCGGTGGCGAAATGGGAACATTGTATTTAACATTGTATGTACATAATTCCCGCAAAAATTATAATGTGAGACCTGCCATTAAATGCTTGAGAAAAAAATGTTGTTTTTAGTGGTAAGTTTGTTTATTGTTCCAGTCACTTGGGTTACAGTATTATATTCTAGACAATGTTTCGCGGCTTCTTTACAAACATAATACTATAATTAATAAAGTAATCATTCATCAAAATAAAAGATGTAAGAATATATAGAGCTATGCAAAAACTTTCATCAGATAAGATTAAGGTTAATGATGAGTTGATCTTTTAAAATGGCATGACACTTGCGAACTCCGTACATGTGCTGACCAGTATTTTGTTGCTACTATAGAAAGTCGTTGAGCAATAAAATTTATTCATTGCTATTTAAATCAAAACAGCGATTGATGTTTTAATGAGTTGCTACATGTACGATTGATCCTAAAATATTTATATTTCATAAAAAAATTTCTTGTCGACCGACATGAAAATGGAAAATGCTTATGTTCGCCTTTTGTTGTTTAGTAATAAATAGAAACAGCCGCTTGTTTGTTAATAAAAGATACAGCATTTCCCTGTTTAAAATCTACATATTTATAAAACTTGTGTTTGACTATGCTCTACCAAAAAACACAGTCTTAGATACTTTAGAGAACTTACCTCCGCCGTTTTTATAACATAGATAGGGGAATCTAGTCACATTTCCAAGCCCTATACACTGTCCCACACATGATAATATAAATTCTATCTTTCCATTCCAAATTTCTCGGGCAGCGGCTGGTTCCGCTGATGCTAGTCGAGTTTCCATTGTTTTCTGGGGAACTTGAGCCTGCGCCGGCTTGGCAAGTGGCGTCCGCTGACTGTTGTATCCGAACTCGGAACTAGTACCGATATCACGCGTCTCTATCGTGTTGTTCACGGAGTTATTTTTATCCGTTTCCATAATTTCTAAGCTTAAAATATTCTTTTATATTTTCTTATATTTTATTATGTATTATGAATGAGTGCAGCACGAGTATATTATTTATCTGATATGTAATATCCGCATCACAAACTTCTTAACTTAAGTCACATAAATTGTTTTTCCACGTGTATATATTTTCAAATATAATTCATCAAATGTTAGAAACTTCTAATAACGATAAAACATATTATTTCACAGCATTTATGCTTTATTTTTCTATTTTTCTTTATTTTAACGTCGAATTTAACGTTTAATTATTCACTGTTTCTATACAGAATGTGAAAAGTAGTGCCCTGTCCGTAACATGAGCGCGGAGTAATATCTGAAATTTTACGTCTGCCACAGAAACGCTCTAATTTTAACATAATGAACAATGTTTCTCTCACGGAGCTCAGTTTTCACACGCCGTATCTTATCTAATGGTGACGGATTACGGTCAATGTTTCAAATAGTTTTCCTACTTTGCATTTTGTGTTGTGAGATTGTTATATAGATAGTAAAACTCCCTGTCATTTGCTGTAATTGCTCGATCTGTTTCATGAATAAACGGGCCAACGAAATTATATTCTCGTTATAATATTATTATATATAAAATACATGAATTTTTCCACTTAAAGGTTTACCATTCTTAACTATTTTGAGCTTTTTTCACAAACGGCACGTAACAATCATGCTATATCTAAATGCTCGTCATAAAGTTATGGTCTGGTAATAAGTACAGCTGTTTACACCGTTTAGAAGAAAGGTTTTCGTCAGGTGAACTCTTCTAAAAAGATTAATGGTCATTAAGAGGATAAAATATTTCAACACCAAAGCCTAGATTGATTATTTCTTCTTTACTCGCGTGATTTTTGACTTAATTATAGGAGGGTGGATAATATACTTGCAAAACGTTTTCAGACAATGATGGACATTTATTAATGCATTAATTATATATTGTTGTATATTGCAGTTGGTCATATGCTATATGCTAAGTGATTATTTGTGCGTTTTAAAACAGATTCCTGTAAACTGCTAGTGCTTTATGTTAAGTTTCATGATCATCTGCAATGTATTTATACTAACATCAAATCCAAGTATAAATATTTTGTCTTTTTTCTACGCAGTAGTCAAAATACCATTAATATGGTGACATATTTCTGCCACCAGATAATCATATAACTAACTAGTTACGTAACTAGTTAACCTCTTAATTAACTAGTTAGTTATCAGGTTAACTAGTTACGTAACTAGTTAACCTCTTAATTAACTAGTTAGTTATCAGGTTAACTAGTTACGTAACTAGTTAACCTCTTAATTAACTAGTTAGGTATCAGGTTAACTAGTTACGTAACAAGTTAACCTCTTAATTAACTAGTTAGTTATCAGGTTAACTAGTTACGTAACTAGTTAACCTCTTAATTAACTAGTTAGTTATCAGGTTATCTAGTGGCAGAAATATGCCACGATACATTAACCATAACTTTCTTTACATAATAGTTATTCGACTTCTTTAGTAACCTTATTTCATGCTGAAAATAAAGGTCGGTTCTTTTGCTTTTTTGTACGATTCACGATAATTATATAAAGATTATTGTACTATTTCTTAATGTCAAATCATATTTATAATATGTCAAGTTGGAAAAAAAACGTATCAAAAATTGTCAAAAAGTAAAATGCAATGCCACTGGAATCACTGAATACATTGTATGTCAAAATCTAGCTGATGTTTAGACATAATGGTTTTTGTCACTGTCGCTTTGATTTTTAACAGTTGATACTGCAATTCAAATTATGAGGGTAATAACATAATAAGTGAGACTTTGCTTATTGTCAAAACGTACATTATTCCTTCGTTCACTATTAGATCTACCGCTTTCAATGACATTTAAAAGAATAAATCCATGTTCCTAAACGTTCTGTGCATAACTAATTAATTTGGTCATTAACATGATCGTAATTTTAACACTTTAGCAAATCCTGTATCTGTAATTTGCCGACAAAGGGAACTATATTAGTAAAACGAAGTCAGTGTTGTCATATATTTGATAATATGTCTGTCGTTTAATACGTTGTTTCTGAACACAGTTCGTTGTAATATGTATAAAAACTCATCGAATTTTAATACAAATGTGTTTCTTCTTGTCACTGTGATAAATAATGATGTCCTTATTCAGTATAAAAGTTAAAAACAAAAAAATGCAGCTAATTTAAGAATATTATCTGATACCAATTATATTGGGGCTATTCGTGTTAAATGCTACGTTCAATTTCTCAAAAACTTTTTTTTTTATTTTTGATGTCCTCTTACAATTTTTAAAAGAACCCATTAGTCATATAGCTAAACTAACATTTGCTTTTCGGCAATCATACAATTGTAGTGATATATAGTATATGTATTATCTTCATGACAAATTATTTCACATTACAAACTTCCGATAAAAAGCATCTTATATGTATCAAATCCATCATTATAGCGTTATCAAACACATGATTTTCCCATCTTAACAAAATATTTATTTTCTTTTTAATAACGCTTTGGTCAAAATACAATAATTGTTAAAAAAAATGTTTGCAGTGAATTTTTGTGTAATACTCGCTAACACTTTGTATATGAAATGTGGTTTAAATTACTGCATATGAAACTATCAATAAAATAATATTGTATATTTATATTGTATAATATTTTAACAGGTTTTGAGGTACATGCAAAAAAAACACAACACCAGATTATTCCGTCAGACTTGACTCTTGTGAGTTATTTTGGCAAGAAACAAGAAGTAGCAGATATTCATTACAACATGAATATACATTTGTATTATATAACATATTGATGTACACATTGTACTATTTTAAAACGACATCACGAACACATTATTATAAAAGTATACGTTACAATTAATTTATGATAGCAATTTTACTGCACCAGGTGATATAGTACTTGTTAAAAGACTCATCATAGACAGAAAATTGAATAACATAAAAACGATTAAATGCTGACCCCATCGCTTTCTCTTTCTCATGCAGTCGTTTTGTTTTTGTCCTTAGTCGCTCTTCAACTCTAATAGATAATCTTTACTAAGACTAACCCGAATGACTAGGTAATTTGTAAATTATTTGGATACAAAATATATTCTTTTAAACTTCGATAGCAGCTTATTAGTGAATGACATGCCCTCTCCGTTTTTATGTCAGAAAGAAATTCAAGAGCAAGTATTGTAAAACAGATATGAATGTCCCTGCCAGTTTACACGTGCAGTGAAGGTAGTTTTAATGTTGAACGCGCATCATTTTTATCACTTTTTCTCATCTTAACCTCTCTCAATATTGAGTTTATAGTTTTGGTTTTATGAGTGTTCCACCTCATTTGTGTTTCAAGATTATCTTGGAGAGCCTCTTCTGACGGGTACGGGAATGTCTGCAATAATAAAAGATGAATTAGAGTCAGATAATGTAAAATGAGCCGCGTCACGACAAAACCAACACAATGGGTTTGCGACCAGCATGGATCCAGACCAGCCTGCGCATCCGCGCAGTCTGATCAGGATCCATGCTGTTCGCTTACCAACCCTATTACAAGTAGAGAAACTGATAGCGAACAGCATGGATCGTGATCAGACTGCGCGGATGCGCAGGCTGGTCTGGATCCATGCTGGTCGCAAACCCATTATGTTGGTTTTGTCGTGACGCGGCTCAAATATGTTTTTTAACACTGGTCATATAGTGATATTTCAAATGGTGATATTTCAGCTTCACTGAAAACGAAAACGTTTCAGACATCAGGGGCCCCTTATTATTCCAGGCACGAACAGGCACTTGAGTAGAACCACAGCGGTGAGGGGGTAATGGTTTGAAGTCAACGATCTCAACCACCCGACCACGGACGCCCTTATGTTAAAGTATTGTCATGAAAATAACATCAATTATGGTCTATCATACATGCACTTGTGATAACGCCCGTGTGGTTTTATTACTATTCAAATGATTTAAATATATTGTTTAAAGACTCAAAAATCTATTAAAATATTTGTACAGATACAGGTTTTATCAAAATAGATAAAACGGTAGAAGTAATCTTACCGATTCACGTAACGCCACCATAAGTCTTTGTGAAGCATTTTCCAAGAAGAACTTTTTCTCGATCATAATACATTCAGATCCATTACTGACGAGACTGAAGTGTGGTTGGTTTTCAAAAAGCATATCACCTAAACCCTGTAATATAACATCATATCACCTACACCCTATAAAATAACATCATAATTATCACCTACACCCTTAAATATAACACCATATCACCTAAATCTTGTAATATTACATTATATCACCTAAACTAAGTAATATAACATCATATCACCTAAACCCGGTAATATAACATCATATCACCTTTACCCATTAATATAACACTATGTCACCTAAACCCAGTAATATAACATCATATCACCTAAACCATGTAATATAACATCATATCACCTCAACATTTATATCACCTAATATTACATATACAAAAAAATTAGGACATATAAACGATAGAGAACAAGTATGAAATAGTGAAAAGATGATAGAAAATAAAACAAAAACTTGTAACGGCACTGGTTACATAAAAGGTGAACTAAAATTTGCTAAGGAAAAAAAACAAAAACAAAATATTTACTAAACTCAAGAAACTCAACAATGTTAAACAGAGCTAAAAAATCTTTATACTTTTACAATGTAACTTACAAAAACCTGTCCTTTAGTAAGTATACGAGCATTGACAAATACTGGTTTTGCTTCAACCGGTTTTATTCTCAGGTCATTAATTGGACTTTCACCGAGAGTCGGTAACGACATCTGTTCCCAGTCATCAACTTTTTTCACCACGTCATCGACATTGTTGTTCTCGTTTTCCGCTGATTCACCCTGGTCAACAAATCTGACGCTCTTCTGGTTGGAAGCTATACTTCGGCGGGAATTTCTAGATTCCGAAGGTCTAGATTCTAAATCTCTCCTTGACGGTAAAGATGCGAAAGAAGCTTCTCGACCAACTACAATTGAAATTATGGTAAAGGTAGAAACCTATGTATGGCTTCTTTAGACACATTATCTCATATTTTTATTTTGACTTAATTAAACTACGGACAAAATAAATTATAGAACTTTTTTTGATGAAAATGTATCTCTTTCTACATGTATATCAAATTTACAAACTGCAATAAAGTAGATAAAGGCCCTATGTCTTCTTCAGTGTAAAGATTATAAAATGTCTGATATCTTTTGCAGTTTTTACAAAATATACATATATAATATTTTTCTGGACTTACGTGAACTCCCTCCTTTAATGAACGGACCCTGTAAAATATATACAACTTCACTCTTGAAAAGAATGATGAAACTTTTTAATAATCATATTAATATAAACATAATAGTAACTTCATACAAAGCAATCAACTTATTTACTAAATGAATGTTTCATCAACATAGAAAGTTAAACAAGTCAATCTCAAACTTCTAAAAGTTACAGCGGTGCCTTATTCCTGATATATAAAGAAAATTGGTCGGTACATACATGTGTGTTAGTTGAACTGAATAAGATTTAAGGTAGAGAAATCATAGTTACCTTTAAAACATTAACTATAGATTTCCGGCGAGATCTCTTGTCGGACACTTGTTGTGTAGAGTCACTATTTCCAGTTTCTGATTTAACGTCGACGCCGGACTTTTCTAGTGCACCCAAGGCACGATTTACACTGTTCGCGTTCATGAACTGTAAGTTATATGTACCAATTATCATCTTCAACTTTTAATGACTGAGCCGCGTCATGACAAAACCAACGTAATGCGTTTGCGACCAGCATGGATCCAGACCAGCCTGCGCATCCGCGCAGTCTCATCAGGATCCATGTTGTTCGCTATCATTTTCTCTACTTGTAAATATAGTTGGTAAGCGAACAGCATGGATCGTGATCAGACTGCGCGGGTGCGCAGGCTGGTCTGGATCCATGCTGGTCGCAAACCCATTACGTTGGTTTTGTCATGAAACGGCTCATATGTTAGATAATATACATAATAAAGTCAGACAGGTGAAATGTGTTTTTCCCATAACATTTTGCATCATTTTAAACTTTTTTTAAAATCAATATTTGGTAACATTTGGCAAGATTGCTAAATAATGCTGCTACACGTAAGTCATTCATACATTCAAATTCTGCATGTACTTTAAAATAAGCAAACAATATTTAATACCGTAATTACCTAAATTATTACCACAAGAGACATATAGACTGTTTTTCTTTTTTTATAATGGCTAACACCCAAGATTATTCGTTAAATTCACGTTAACATTCATTTAAAGTCTGAGAAAGTACTTGACCTCTTCTTTCATCTGTCGTAGTTCGTTGTACGACTCATTTGTCTTGATGTTAATCTCTGGTAGAGCGTAGAAACGCACGTGCAGGTTCTGGTCGTCAAGGCTACGTTTCTCTTCCTCAAACATTAGCTGTACCTGCTCCTCGTGACTCAAGAACCTCTCGTGCTTCATTACCTCCATTACTGAAGTGTTCAAGAGAAATTTACTATCGCATCAATAACATGTACATATAGTATACTTGTACCGTATTTTTTATTTTTTCTCGTATACACAACACCAAAAACATTTTTATTTTTGGTCAAATAATTACGCGTTTTCTATGCCTGACATGACATTTCTATTAGATTTCCGGTCACTCCATTCATGAATAAATCGTGCAATTTATACTGCCACGGGTAGATTTGCGGATAACTAAATAATGCATCTGTATCGAGCATTTTAGGTCAATCATAGTGTCCATAACACTCGTACACAATCATTTCTGAAAATGTATAGCCTATTTAAGAAGTTCTTAACAATAAGATATAATGAAATAAAGCATTTATCAGTTACAACTGCAAAATTACATTGTACAATGGTTCTGATTGAAAGGAGATTTTTCTAAAGCAGCAGTGAAAATAATCTAGTTTGATTGAGTTTGTTCAGAATAGGCTACGCAACTTATCAGTATTCACTCTTCAATAGCATTAAAGTCAATGATCATATAACAGACCAGAAAAATATATCATGTAGACGAGATAAGACTTGCTCCGGCAAAAAAAAACTTTTGGTTTCCTTCGCTTATCCAGGGGTACAAATAAAAACTTTAAGAGTTACAACTGCGAACATGAGCGTAAAAGGGTTGAGTAATTTATTCTAAACTGTACAAAGTGAAGCTATAACGGTAAAAGTTTCTACCAGGGGATTAGCTTTAAAACCCCACTTTTGCCGAGTTCCGTATAACAACTGTTATTTGTCGCCTGCTATTGTATGTGAACAAATTCTGAAGAAAGGAGGCTGTCTCGATGTCTATAATTGGTCATGACCTCCTGTAAACATGATTTCCTTATTTACAGACATAAAACCTAATATGCTCTTACAGAGCAATTCGGGTTTATGGGCATCCGGCACATATTGTTCTTTCTCAGGCAGTTGGGTTCTAGTTTAAATTGTAGTGGAAATTCTTAACCAAGATCACGGTGAAACCTAGCGGCAGAGTTACGCTGTACAGAATGTAGGCAAAATGCATATTGAAAACAATATATTCCTGCGACAATCTGTCAATTTCTTACATATACATTGAAATATAGTAATTTAATTAAGAACGTATTTCAATCATATTGTTTATGCGAAATCTAAACATGAATAATCTGCTGTTATGGAATATAGAATAGTTTATAAAACAAAACTGAACAAAACCTTCATCTCTAAAGTCCATCACTTTCTTCGGTTTTGGTTTTTTCTTTATATCAACTGCATGCAGCTTCTTCAGCAAACTTGCGCTACCCTTCAATTAAACATGGTTATGCTAATTAAAGCAACAAAAAGGAGCTCTTTTAAAAGTAACGAAAATCAAAGTAAATACTTAACACTTTCGCTGCCAGAGGGTTATTGTTTTATTGTTCACCTATTTGCCAGAGGATTTTCTAAGAAATTACTACATGTATGTTATTAATTAATATAATTATAATTATTTGTTATTAGTATTATAATAATTATATATGTTTCCAAATATGTTAGTATAATAATAATTAGTGTCGATGGTATAATTTTCTTTATATTTATTATTATTTTCATTATTATTATAATTAATTTATTATAATTACTATTATTATTATAGAAACGGCTAAAGCCGTCCATATGGCAAATACGCCGAAAATAACAGGGACGGCTTAAGCCGCCCCTATAGCAGTGAAAGGGTTAAACACTGCAGACCCTGATTATTGAATGTGTCAATGAGATAATATAATGTGCAACATCTCTCATGCGTCCTACCATGCACCATCTATATCCTCAACATTCAAAACATTTAGAAACATTAATCCTAGAAAAAACAGATTCAGTTTATAGTTCTTTTTATTTATCTCATATAATATAAACACAGTTATATTCATAAAAATTTCAACTACATTTTCTAAAAAGCAAAGAGCATTAAAAGAACAAAACAAAAATGAAAAATGCCAGTTTTAACAGACCTTTTTGCAGGTGAGCATAGCGTTACATATTAATATACTTACTGATTTAACTACAAAAATCCAATCATTTTTGGTACTGTCGTGTACTAGAATTGTGCCACGCCTGTTAATAAAATATTAACTAGATCAGGTTTAAAGTAATCAACGTTCGAATCATAAACGTGCATTAGCTAAACCACACATTTAAAAAATAAAATACAATATTGTATATCATTTTGAAAAGTGACTATCGGTAAATAATTTAATAATTTACCTAATAGTTCATTTATATTAATGTACAAATTTTGTATATAGAAAATAAAGATACGAAATGGACAGAGTGAAAAAAGGAAAACTGAAAAAAAACTTAAATAAAATAAAACATAAATAAAATTAAATATAATCAAATATACATAAAATAAACTAAAATGTACTCCAATATACTTAAATAAACTTAAATATAATTAGATATACTTAAAATCTCACTTGAAGTAACTGAAGATACATCGTTTCGGGTTGTCAATTAATTTTTCTTTGGGCCAGCCATCGAGAAAATGTATTGAGCTGAAATAAATACATGTATTGTAAATACATGTAGTAAATCGCTCAAAGTAAACCCTATCATGAATGTATGACATTTTGTTAGTTTTTTACATTAGAAATAACTTTAAGTATATTCATAACTTAAATAAAGAATGTATTTTCGAATGAATTATGATAACATGTTTGTAAATTAAAATAAATGTTCACTTCTTACTTCAGAAAAGGGTCGTTATGGTCCCTTAGACCGCCAGACATAAATATGTCAACGAAATCCTGAAAAATACAAACCATAAATCATAAATACATTTTCACAATTCTGAAAAATACAAACACACAACCACCAGGTCTAAATATATCAATAAAATTACGAAAAATAAAAGAGAGAAATTAAATGTAAGGGTTGCGGTGTCCTAAGTTGTTAAGGTGTCTGCCTCTCAACCTAGAGTTTGTGGACTCGAGCATTTAAGGGGGCATTTTAATTCTTCCTCATTTGACACAATTTCTGGTTAGTTCAAGGAAGAAAACTCTATAGCGGTTCAATTAAATTTTCAAACTTTTATAACAATTGAGCTTAAATCATTAATGTATTATTAATGTAATATAGTATTTAAACTGTATCTCATGGTTGTGGTAAATAAATGTGTAGGATGTTATAAGGTTTATTATAGAGATGTTTTGTTATGGTTACGAAACATTAAACTCGCCCATTATTATTTTCTCATTTTGTGTTGTTTAAACACATGTACCTGGGGTGTTTTATCTACTGATTATTTATGATATAATTTGTCACATAGATATAAAATATTTTGTATAAAGTGTTACCGTATCAGTCATACACAGAAGTTCGATCTTCTCGCGAGATATTACGGTAGTTTCACGTCGAGCATTGTTCAAGATGGCGACGTCACCAAAACTGTCACCTCTGTTGAGGAACATGATGGTCTTCGGAACCCCGTCATCCATAGCAGACACAATCGCTGATGGTAAACACATCATAATATGACAAAATATGTGAACATGTAGTGTATTGATATTATGGATCATCTATTTCTATGCTTCTATAAATTATTCAGCATATCAAATCTAGAGAACGGTAACCTTCTTTATGGAATAAGTATGAAATGATAAAAAAAAATTCTAACTAGGTTCAGCGTACCCGTTTATATACAGTGACATGACGTGATAACACATCAAGTAAAAAACAGAAATGTTAAAAAGCGGCTTATAAAGTTTTGGAAGCCAGAACTAGGTACAACATGTGTATATGCATGATCTACATTATTCATAGTGCTCCAGAATAGTCATGTGGACAAATGATCTTACCATTTCAAATATAGTGTCTAAACAATTATACGTTTACAAAAATTCTATTACAGGAGTTCAAGTTTAATGTCAAAGAAAGAATACACAAGTACCTGATCCGGACAGTATAAAATAAAAACACATAGGAACATGACCTTCCCTAACAATCACACGTTTTATGTCGAAACTGAAATTATACAAATAAAAATAAAACATTTCCTGCGATCAGAAACATCAGAATTTATAGTTTGTATTTCGAACGAAACGAAAAATAAAAATTCGAATTCCAAGTGAAAAATTTAATGTCAATTTTTATAAAGAGCGGCATTTTATTTAGATAGATACCGTGAACAAACGACATGCCAGTTAAAACATAATTCACAAAAGCATTTATTTAATAAGTAATTTGAATAGTTTCTTAAAAATTATAAACAAGCGCCTGGATAAAAGGATTTTAAGAACTTAGAATCTGTATTCACATGCATTTCATTTGGTGTAAAAAGGTTTCTATGTAACAAAGATTAGTCGACCTTTTTGTTTAAATGTAAGTTCACATCACTAGAAATGGGAGAAAGAAAATTATTCCATCGGCTAAAGCCCTCCAATCTCAACTAATTAAGCCTACAACGGCGCATAAAACTTTTCATCTCGGGACTTATTGGATTTGTTTTACGTAAAAACTGCTCGAGTAAACATATTCTTTGAACAGCTGTGCCGCAGAATTGTCTTGATATCCGCAAATCAATCAGACCAGTTAATTTCGTCGCGCTGCGTTTCTTAAGTTATTTTTCTTAAGCGTTTTCACCCAATAAGCAGACATTGAGTTTATTAAATCTCTCGTTGAGTTAATAAATCTTGTCTCTGCAACAAATTGTCCTACATCGATCTCTGATGATTTAATACCGCTGATAATTAACTTGTGGCGGGATGAAGATTCAATAAATGAAACATTGTTACTACGAAATTGAATTTTCCTGATTTTCTTTATATCTTGAATACGTTTTTTATTCTCTTAGATAAAAATCTCACTTTCTTTGGAAAATAAGTTCTCTATGCAAAGAAATTAGAACGGAAGCGTAGAAACATAAAAGAATGTGTAAAATAATCGCATTCATTAAACTTTAATCTGCCCATAAATTTAAACGACTGAAAGTCCAAGTGAAGTCCATATAATGATTATTTCATTACCTTATTTAATAGCACCTGATGTTTTGAATCCGTAAAAGGATTTAAATAGTTCACCGGCCTTGTAGTCACACCGGATTATTCCGTCGTACTAGATTACTCAGAAAAATAGTATAATAAAGATTTGTTTTTGTCTATTGTGTATAAATTATTAGTTATAAATATGCCTGACAGTTTATATGTTTATATGTAATAACGGTTTAATGGTTATATGACTCGAGCGGCTTGGCTAAATGGGAATTTTATGTGAAAACAACCGTTTATAGTCGGTCATATAACATGTGAGAGATCTGTATAAAGAATTTATAAAATTTATTTATTTATTGTTGATGTTGTTTTTATGGGGGATTATTCATTAACTGATTGTAGTCTTGTATACAGATAATACAAACGTCACGATTATCCAATGAAAGGCAACGTTACAGGCATGAAATTGTATACAAATAATATTATATTATTTGTACATAGGCATAGAACATGAGGTATATTGGACTTTTGTTATTATGATATTTATAGAATCAAAGTTAGAGGAAAGAATATACGTTACCTTTCTATCCAGGACCGCTGCGCTATCAGCCTTTGCATTTTAACTGGGTATTCTGCTATACTTTTGTAATTACGAAGAAATATCTGCACCTATATTATATTAAAATGTTATTATCATATGATGAAGAATCAGAAAAAAAATATTTTTTTTTGTTTATTACATACTTTTTCCTTTTTTAACCCTATGAATAGGAAGAAACCCTTTTAATTTTGTGTATTGGCTGAATTTAGAAAAAAGTTAGTCTGGCACCAGTGAATATAAGGAAAATATGTTTCACTGCAGTGAAAATAAATTTTACAGTGAAAATACAGAAAATAAAAATACGCATTTTATTTCACCAATGTTACTCAATACATGTATTTCATTTATAAATATGTAATAAAATATCCTTTCATGATTTGCCTTCAATATATTGTTTATGATAACTGTAATTTAGTATTAAAGGATTAGTTATACTAACATAGTATTGTTCCTCCTCTGTCCTGAAACCCGGTTTCTTCATTAAGATTCTTTTAACCTCCGACGATATCTTAGCCTACAAATAATAATAAACAGAATGTCATTCATGTATCACTGTTGCTTTAACAGAATATAAAGGCATGTACATGTATAATATTTCTACATGTAAAACAAAATTTAAACCATAAATAATTTAATTTAATTCTTTAGTGAATGAGAAGTTAGTTCTAATTACAGAAATTGAATTTGAATGTACCAGAATATTTGGAAAATGGAAGAATATGTTTGAACAAAAATAGTTTCAACCTTTTATCCATATAACGTTTCATTAAAGTGACATTATGCCCATCCCAGACTTTATAGTGATTGAACGGGTGAAGGTCAAAATAAGTTTTCATTTTGCCATAATTCCTTTCAATTAATAATTAAGTTCACATAAACAATAAATAACGCACAGAAGATTCAAACGAAATTTCTGTAAATATACATTAGAATTTACCTATAACGCTCAGTTTATAAAAAGAGTGGGCAGTCTTTTTATATTTTAGGCAGATTTATAATTGTATCCTAAACATTTTCCAGTATCAACTGTTGGTCAAGCACCATTTTGACAGTCAATCTTTTAAAATATAAAGTCAATTCAGCTCAGCTTGACTATGAAAATATGAGCATAATGTCACTTCAATTGTTCAACACAAGGACAGGATTTAGCCTTTAACCTAGTGTGATCCTAAATGGATTAGCCTTTGTCCTTTGTCACCAATGATAGCCGGTCCAACTTTTACATCTGTGCAATCTGATCAGGTTCTATACTAGTGGTAGCGCAATTATTTTTATTTTGATGATTTTGGAAATCCTTTACCTAATAACGAACCTCTTTCGACGCCTTGAACGATGTAATATCAAACAACAGATCAGCCTGGTTCCCTCTAGTAATCATGTCTAACGAATCATTATTGTCCACTAGATCTTCATTTATTCTGAAAAATAAACGCTCACTTTAAAAAAACAATAAAAACAACCATCGTTAAAAAGATAACAATAAAGGGGGACAAATTGTAAATATACATTCCTGCTTTTCTGGCTGCTGTATAATTAGTTACATATGGTTGGTTACGGCGTCCACTTGAAACATATACCATCGTACACCACTATCCCATCTCAAGAAAAAAAATTATTATGATTTTATATTCTTAAATTAGTATACTAGTTAAACAGACATATTTTTCAATCCAGAAGTCGCCTGGCCAAGTTTTCGGGGATTTAGCTCATGCGCGAGGATTCCTGAAGGATAAAGACAGGTACCTATTTCAAATCTACACCATTTTGCTGTTCATTATTTTAAATTCATCAGGGCATTTTTTCCCTCTTTAGAGTACACTGTTTTCGTTAGCATTAATAAACATACGTACATAAAGAAAATACATGTATATAAACTTACGCATTTGAATGGATTTTCCAAGCCCTCAATAGAAGCACAAGGAATCGTGCTCGTTTGCGCCATATGTCTATTGGTTTGGTCTAGAATGTGGTTATCAAATAATATTAATTTCCAATGTCAAAAAACAATTTCAAAAGACATTTAATTTGCATGAAATAAAATATTATGGTATATTTCTAACATTAACGAAAACAACATTCACACAACTGAAAGTAACCTTGACACATGAAAAATTACATGCTTTTTGAACAGGGTCCGAGGTTATAAAGAAATTCTCAACGGTCAAACTAAAATCTCAGTCATTTGCTTGGTGATCAACTTCCACAGAATGTACACTGGCCAGAAACATTTTATTACCTTAAGGCCTCGAAACAGAAATACAATATACATATTTTATCATGTAAAAATAGTCGGAAAGAAAGATCTTGCTTTTTTCAGAACACCAACAAGCATAAAACAGACGTTCCATTTAAAACTTAGGTAGATTTTTTACAACAAAGTTAAATTTTGAATAAAAGAACATGACTATAATAAATCTTACCCTTTTTCTCTTCAATCTCCGCCGGAAACTTAATATCGACTCTTTTGCTACATCCTCTTTCGTTATAGAATCTTTAGGTTTTCCAACCAGACCTATCAACTTTGGTTTCTCATTCTTCTTTAACATCTGAAACATCTTCATTGATCTATCTCGCTGCTCTTCCGACATGATCTCATTATCACTTTTTTCAACAGGCGAAGGTGACCCTAGGATTACCTCAGCTTTGTTCGTTTTCAAGTCTGTAAGCGGGCCTTTTTTATGTCGAGTTTTCATAAGCACATGAGTAGCAATGCTGCCCCTCTTCTTGCCTCTACCGTACGACGCTTCTAAAATCGCTATCTCACCTTGACTGTCAATAGAATTGTTACGTTTATAATTACATTTATTACCGCCATTCATTGTGTTCAGTGTTTGTAGCATTCGTAATTTTCTCTGCTCTGCCTCCGTTAGAATTCCCGACGTGGATTCCGAACTTGACGACAAGCGTGATTCCCTACGGATCATATTAGATGACCGTCGGGTAGATTTTCGTCGGTATGGTGAAATACGGTCATCATCAGAATCACTTGGATTAAAAGGGTCATCGTATTCATTCTCGTCAACAGATGCCTGCCTCAATGAAGGTCTTTTTTTCAACGCTGTTAGACACGGAACTTTTCCGAGGTCATCTCTTAGGGCATTCATCATGGAGTTACGCCGACTTGTTCTCAGTCTGGATGTATCAAGGTCGGGGGAAACGTTTTCACTTTCCCATGCTACACTTACTGAGCTCTTTCTTGACCGCTGACTGAGACTTTTTTCGGAGTCAGATCTTTGAAGACTTTTGCGTCTGAAATTTGTGATGTCGGCATTGCCAGTGCTTCCTCTACGCCTATGAACTTGTCGAACGGGGCTTATCCGGCGGTCAGTAAAAGATATTAGGTCCCCAACTGTACTAGTTTCCTTAACAAGTCCAATTTTATCATCTTTAGTAACCGAAGATAAGTCCAACTTCCTCGCCGCCGCTAAAACAGCGGCAGCCATTTTTGATTATTTATGAAATAATTTTTTGTCGCAGTTTTATTCCGAAAGTACAACTATTATTGTATTTCTTTTATAAATATCGCACCGTTTGTTTTATCAGGTTGAATGTGCAGTTAACCTTAAGTATTTTGGCGAGATTTTAATCTTTGGCCGCTTAACCTCAAATAATAATCAGTTCAGTTTTTTATTTTGTTAATCTAATAATGAATAAACTATTTCATTAATCGGATTACGATATTATATCAAAAGTGGACATTTAGATTTTATGTGAAACAAACAGGATTAACCGTGTTTATAGATCGGTAGCCTGATCTTGCCAGTGTTGTAATGGTTTTCACTATTTCCGTTATATTTTATGTAAACATCTACTCTGGGCATCGAACTCGCACATTTAATTGATTTATTTAAAAGAAAATCCAGTTGACTTCCATTGGCCCAATGTATTTATATATATTATTATATGTTCCTTTTAGATATTTTGATCAGTTCATTTACTGGCGGCTTTCAATATAATGAAATATTTTTTTATTATATACTTATAAATGAAATATTGATGAAAATTGACTGCTTGTGTCTTGCCGGACTACTTTTTTTCTAAATTCTGCCAGTACAATTTAATGGAAAGTCTTTCAAATTTTACTGTCAAAAAAAGAGAAAAATGTACATAATAAACAGGAAATTCAAGTTATTTCTATATATACATGATTTATTTTCATCTTGTGGTATGTAAATTATCGTATTTAACTCGTGGCTACCGCCACTCATGAAATATTTATTTTCATACCACTCGATGAAAATTAATCCGGTATGTAATAGAAAGAGCATCGAAACACGAGCGAGGCTATCATATTAATCAGATGGCCGAGTGTTTTGATGTTCTTTCTCTTTTGTATCATAGTTAAACATAAAAACACGTTCCCTGTCGTCACAATCTAAAATTGTATCATAGTTTGGAGACCTTTCTGTTGAAAATGTGTCAGGGTTAAATCGTATACATATACATGTACAGTGCGTTAACTGGAGTGCGGGTATTAGTTACCCGCACTCCAGAGCATGCCCATTGATTGGCTCATTTTTGCTGGGGTTTACATATTGTGACGGCAGAGAAAGGGAAAGCGACAGAAATGTCATATTCAGATGTTCGTTCATTGGTTCATTTTTGCCGGGGTTTCATATTGTGACAACAGGGAACGTGCTTTTATGTTTGACTATGATACAAAAGAGAAAGAACACCAAAACACTCGGCAATCTGATTAATACTCGGGGGTTACGCCCCCTCGTACAAATCAGATAGCCTCGTGTTTCGGTGCTCTTTCTATTACTTATAGACCTGTATTGACGGAAGTTTAGTTACCTCTGTTTACAGTGATAACATAATATTTTGTTTACAGAAAGCAAAGATGCTAGAATTATACTATGTTTAGGTTAGACAAATGAAAACATCATGTATATAAGTCATGTATATAAGTCATGTATATAAGTCATGTATATAAGATACAACTGATCAGATAAAATGAAATTGTAGTCAACTTTTATGACAAATACATGTAGTATTTACATTTCGTCATCTAAACAACAATATTCAAGTTGTCTGAGATAACTAATTCTGAACCTATATATATTTTAATAGTTTGAATATGTTAAATTTATGTTGTTCCTTGTTGAGAGCCTCATGGAAGATATATACATTTGTATATTGTTCAAATGAGTTCTCTCGTTAAATTATTATTGTCTTTATAAATCAAATTTCAGAATCATTGACAATTTCAAAATAAAAAAAATACCCCATGAACCGGTACATACATGTATATTTATCTGATTACAGACGAATCACAAGTGTAGGAATGTGAAATTATTCATGCATAAGTAATAGAACAGTCCGGTCTGTTAACTGTGAATGCAGTTATTTAAAGTGACATGTGCTGCAATAAAATAGTACAAAATAAATTTATTTAAAATGATAATTGTAAGCAAAAGAGACAAACAATTTATCAGTGTCGTTCACAAGGAAGCATTTTTTCATTTTACTGCTATTGGAACTCATCACAATATAATAATAATAATAATAATAATAATAATAATAATAATAATAATAATAATAATAATAATAATAATAATAATAATAATATAGAAATAATAATAATAATTATAAAAATAATCATCATCATCATTATATTATTAATAATAATAATAATAATAATAATATAAAAAAAATAATAATAATAATAAAAATAATCATCAATCATCATCATCATCATCATCATTATATTAATCATAATAATAATTATAATTATACATGTAATCATAATGATAACGATACTGTTAAAATGAAGTTAAAAATAGAGACGATATTTGGTGATTGGTAAATTGAATGAATTGAAGAAAGTTTCATCTTTTTTATTACGTTCAAATTTAAGTTATTTATCAATTTTAGCTTTCCTTTTCTCTAATGTCGGAATTGTAAGCAATAATAAAAGAGAGGGACCACATAGGGAAAATCTTTAAAGGAAGTCTCTTCTTTGAAAAGTGTGAAATTATATTTTAATAATTTTCACTGTGAAATTATCAAATATAATTTTCACGGATAAATCAGTAATCCACTCAAATGTATACATTGAAAAGACTTTATTTCATAGATGTATTTGACATCGAATTGCATTCATTTCTGTAGTTGGTTAAAAAAGTCAAAAAAATCTAATTCAATATGATATGATTGTGTCCCTGCTATCAACTTATGAGAAAACGTTACATTGATAAATATTATATTATGAGACCATTTGAGCTGTGTCATGACAAAACCAACATAATGGGTTTGCGACCAGCATGGATCCAGACCAGCCTGCGCATCCGCGCAGTCTGATCAGAATCCATGCTGTTCGCTACCAGTTTCTCTACTTGTAATAGGGTTTGTAAGCGAACAGCATGGATCCTGATCAGACTGCGTGGATGCACAGGCTGGTCTGGATCCATGCTGGTTGCAAACGCACTATGTTGGTTTTGTCATGATACGGCTCATTTACATGTTTTATCTTACTCAGCTGCTTCCAACAACTAATGACAAAGTGTTGACTAACTTCGTTTGTTTCATAAATTGTGCTTTAAAAGCTAGGCATAATCTTTTTACAATAAATGTTAAATAAAACAAATGCTCAATTCATTTGTACAATAGTAACTGTTATTTTCAATATTGTATTTTATCATTATATTGTTTGACTTTGACACAATAATGTAGAATAATGTTATGACTGAGGAGCGGAATGCTCAAATCTAAAAAATAAAATTCATGTTCTGTTCTGTTTAGTTCTAAACCGAGAGAAGTAAATTCAAACATGTCTCTTTAACATATGAAAACTATAAGTCGAACACGATAACGTTTGCATTAATCGGTCAAACCATTATGATATAATGGGTTGTGCAAGTTATTCAGTTATTACATTTTGCACTTTTTACTGCAATTAAGAAGAATTAAATTGGATATAGACAAGTAAATCCGAGTAGCGTAGTGGTTAGAGAGTTCAGATAATGACATCTATGAAGATTTCATGTTAAGAAAAGTTGGGTTTTTTTTCCGAGTTCAAATCTGGAATTGTGCAATATTTTTTATGTCTGTATGGGTTTTACTTTCAGAAAACATTTTCATATCCTCTTTTATAAAACTGTGATTAATTTAATATTTTGTACAATTTAAAGTTAAACTTATAACGATTTAGCAAAATTGAATGTATTTGATTTTAACAGTCATCAAACAGTTGAAAAGTATTGTCAATTTAATTCTTTTTACAATTCTGAATTCAGTTTGCTACATTTTTTAACAATTTCGGCTCATTTGTATATTTAATTTTTTTACATTCCACATTCATCACTATAATAACGACTGTGTTGCCTCTTACTTTACTTGTTAAAAGCGATTGTGTGTAAAACTCAATGTTCTAAAATAGTATTGTGTGATATAAATTCACGAAGAACTAAAATCCAATTCATTGAAAAATATCTAAAAAAAACAATTCATAAAAAATGCCTTTTCCAAGAATCGAACCACAGTCTGTACACTGACGAAGCCAACACTCAACACTGAACGGTTAAAATTGTGTAAATGTTTAGGTAGTTAAAGATTTAGGCGATTAATAGTATGCTTTTATATAAGAATTATCGACACCCCTTTTTGTCAATATCAATGTAAACAGATAATGAAAGGAATAGCGAATTCGAGCTATACGTTGATACAACTTTATGTTTTTCATTTTGTTTATCATAATTATCTGTGTGGTTGCGCTATTGGGCATGAACATATTTTCCATCAGCTTATCATTTTGTTACTACATATTATGACAATGTTGCTTTCTATCTATAATTTTATTCCTTAATAACAATTTCAGTGTGCGTTAAATTGTTTTGTTCTTTTCTGGCACAATTCGTGTCATTGAGTCTGTTGAAAAGGTGCTATACGTGAGGGACTAACAACAACTTTGTGTGTGTATTTGAGTTTATTTATACTATATTTATACCGGTTGCCCATATGGGCGAGTCCTCCCATTTTAGCTTTTGGAGGAAAATGCAAGATAAAGAAAAATGCCCCAACTCCAGAAGCTTCTCCTGGTTCCTTAGCGTGCCAACTGTTTAAGTCCACATACACGGGACCTCGATTTAAAGTCTCACCCGGGTTAGTAATTTTAGTTGGCCATCCCGGGAATCGAACCCACAATGTCGAGATTACAAGTCTCGCGCTCTTACCTATTGAGCTAAGCGGGCTGGCACGGCACGACAATTGTAATTCATGCGTTCGAATATGTCGGTTTCCTCGGTAGTTTGACATACCACTCTGGGCTAGTCATAAGTCATTTTAAAATTATGAAAAGTCACATAAAGGTCAGGGTTTCTCCTTTTGCATTTCAAACAAAATATTTTCCTTCAAACCAACGCCGTAAGACAATTCCCTCGAATTTAGATGGATACAGGGCATCATAACACTTAATGTTTCCTTATTTGTAATAATAATGAGAACTTCGGTGGCAGCTCATTTTAGGATTAGGCTCTTTATGAATCATAATCAACGCTCGTGCAGTTATATTCGGTCCTTACTAGAACTGGGGTTGAATCTTATTTTAAAGGGCTTGAAAAGGAGGGTTCAAACTTCTACCTAATATAGGACGAGATTCATGCACAAAATGTCCTTTAGCTGATATTGTTCACAGATGTAGAAAATGTTAACTTAACAAGCTATAGAAGCATTTAAGTGTACATTCTGCACCGTAAAAATCGCGAACACATGCAAAAGTTAAAAGGGATTCTTTTCTTAAAAGAACTTTTAATCTAATATTTAGAACTTAATGAATGCGAGACTCCTTTCTGTCCAGTTTTGTTTTACGAAATTACATCCACTCCTTGTTTTGACAATTCGTATTAGAAGAAAATATTTTGTTTGTCATCACAAGGAAAACAATATTAGGTTAGGAAGCGACATTGTCAATCTAAAAAAAATCTCACATGTGTGGTGTAAGTAATAGAAAGAGCACCGAAACATGAGGCTATCTGATTTGTACGAGGGGGCGTAGCCCCCGAGTCAAACATAAAAGCACGTTCCCTGTTGTCACAAAATGAAACCCCGGCAAAAATGAACCAATGAACGAACATCTAAATATGACATTTCTGTCGATTTCACTTTCACTGCCGTCACAATATGTAAACCCCAGCAAAAATGAGCCAATCAATGGGCATGCTCTGGAGTGCGGGTAACTAATACCCGCACTCCAGTTAACGCACTGTGCATGTATATGTATACGATTTAACCCTGACACATTTTCAACAGAAAGGTCTCCAAACTATGATACAATATAGTATTCCTTACATAAATATGTCTTTTCTTTACTTATGTAAATGTCTGCTTCCCATTAAATATTATAATACATTGATATGAAGGCTAATAACAGTGATTATCCGTTTTAATCAGTAGATATTACAAAGCCCATAGTTTCACAATTTATAAGTTCCATGGTTGCTGAATGATATTTTATAGTGTTTTTTTTACCTGATATTGTATTAATTTTTCAAATGAATTAACAATTACCGTTCATGTTGTGGCAAATAAACTCTTGCGTGATGATGATGCAGATAGCTAAGTAATTGTGATTGTTTCAATGATATATTGATTCCAAACAAAATAAACAAATATCCAAATTCAGGAAAACAAAGATACATATTAAGGTATATTATTTTGTGTCCCCCATGCTCAAAATAGAGTATTGGATTCCGAGTGCGGGGTTCACTGGTTAGGTCCTTAAGCGAGGAGACAATTTATCAAATGTTCACCTGTCTATCACAGCTAATACATATAATGTGGGTTATTTGTGGGGAAATTGGCAATTACTGATGAGTTATCCAGGAAAGCTGGTATAGTGTATCAACCGCCGAGATATCACCAAACATTGTTTAAAAAAGATACAGAAAAACAAACAATAGTTATTAAAATCAATATATTATGACGTGAAAATAACATTTATACAATAAAGTATTAAAGGAATTTAAGCTTGATCACAGAAACTTGATGTTGGCTTCGTGGAACTTGCAATCTTTCACGAGTTGTACCTGTAAATAAAGACACGTATACAATAATATCACTCTAGTGTTTAACAAATAACCTGTTAACTTGGTCAAGATATGTTAGTGAAAACGAGGTTATATTTTATAATGACATCATGTTCAACAATAATTTCAAATATTTTAAAGGTGGGATACTTTGAAATATTTGCCTGGCAGTTAGTAATGTCACCTGTAATCTATACATTGTACTTGTAAGACTATACAAGACTATACAAGGCATAAATCCCTTTATTGTTCAGAATTTTTTTTTCTTCAGAAATTGATCTCAGCTATATGACCCTATATAATTTACCCAATCGACGGCATTTTATAATATACATTTGTATATCATAAATCTCATTTAAGTTTATCTAAAACTAAAGAATTTAGCATCAGTGTCTAACAAACTTGTTAATTAACGAGACACTCATCTCATAAAATAAAAACTGTTCTTACATTGTCCATATAGCCATAGAAATCTTCAGTTCTATCGTAGGCAGGCCCTCTACCGGCGATAAACAGTGGGCACTTATTCTGAGGAATCTTACCTATGTATAAACATGTAAAAATAGTAATCATTTAAAGAAGATATAAACTTATGTCACGCTACTGTCAGGTCGTAAGTAACATATCTTTTTCGGTTAAAACATTCGATAAGAATTCAGAACCCAGTGCAGTCAATAAAGCGTAAAAGTTAAAGAATAAATAATAAAACCTTTATATGCGGCATCAAAGTTACATTGAAACAAAAAACCGCTTTAAAACTCATTATTGATGATTGGTTCATTTGGATATATATGGGGGAAAATGATATCTTAAGTTTAAATAAGAATGTATTTGGTAAATCATGTAATACTACATTTGCTAGGTAATGAATTGAAGTTTAAATATCTAAAATATTGATCATCGGTTGTTTGTTTATAAAGGAAATCTTACCCAGCATATCTTTCTGTTCAAACACTTTCTGGCCATTCACTTCCATTGTTAATGTTTCATATTCCAGGTAAACAACAACCTTATACCAACCGTACATATCCTGTAATCACATATAATCATTATAAAAACCTTCATGTCACTTCCTTAGAAGGTCTGTCTATTGCTGTATTCAAACGTTAAATTGTAGTTATTAATCAACAAAATCAGACGACACTTTCAGACAACACTTTCAGACAACACAATCAGACGACACATTCAGACAACAAAATCAGACGCCACTTTCAGACAACACAATCAGACAACACTTTCAGACGACACTTTCAGACAACACTTTCAGACGACACTTTCAGACAACACAATCAGACGACACTTTCAGACGACACTTTCAGACAACACTTTCAGACGATACTTTCAGACAACACAATCAGACAACACTTTCAGACGACACTTTCAGACAACACTTTCAGACGACACTTTCAGACATCAAAATCAGACGACACTTTCAGACAACACAACCAGACGACACTTTCGGACAACAACAACACAATCAGACGACACTTTCAGACAACACAATCAGACGACACTTTCAGACAACACAATCAGACAACACAATCAGACGACACTTTCAGAGAACAAAATCAGACGACACTTTCAGACAACAAAATCAGACGACACTTTCAGAAGACACTTTCAGACAACACTTTCAGACGACACTTTCAGACAACAAAATCAGACGACACTTTCAGACAACACTTTCAGACGACACTTTCAGACAACACAATAAGTCGACACCTTCAAACAAAAAAATCAATCGACTATTTCAGACAACAAAATCAAACGACCATTTCAGACAACATAATCAGTCGACACCTTTAGACAACAAAATCAAACGACCATTTCAGACAACAAAATCAAACGACCATTTCAGACAACAAAATCAGACGACACTTTTAGACAACCCAATAAGTCGACACCTTTAGACAACAAAATCAAACTAAAATTTCAGACAACAAAATCAAACGACCATTTCAGACAACACAATCAGACAACACTTTCAGACAACAAAATCAGACGACACTTTCAGACGAGACTTTCAGACAACAACATCAGACAACACAATAAGACGACACTTTCAGACAACACAATCAGACAACACTTTCAGACAACAACATCAGACAACACAATAAGACGACACTTTCAGACAACACAATCAGACAACACTTTCAGACGACACTTTCAGACAACACTTTCAGACGACACTTTCAGACAACAAAATCAGACGACACTTTCAGACAACAAAATCGGACGATACTTTCAGACAGCACAATCTGTAGACACTTTTAGACAACACAATCAGACGATACTTTCAGACAACACAATAAGACGACATTTTCAGACAACACAATCTGTCGACACTTTCAGACAACACAATCAGACGATACTTTCAGACAACACAATAAGACGACATTTTCAGACAACACAATCTGTCGACACTTTCAGACAACACAATCAGACGACGTTTTCAGACAACACAATAAGTCGACACCTTTAGACAACAAAATCAAACGACCATTTCAGACAACAAAATCAAACGACCATTTCAGACAAAACAATCAGACGACACTTTCAGACAACCCAAAAAGTCGACACCTTTAGACAACAAAATCAAACTAACATTTCAGACAACAAAATCAAACGACTATTTCAGACAACACAATCAGACAACACTTTCAGACAACAAAATCAGACGACACTTTCAGACGAGACTTTCAGACAACACAAAAAGACGACACTTTCAGACAACAACATCAGACAACACAATAAGACGACACTTTCAGACGAGACTTTCAAACAACACAATCAGAAGTCACTTTCAGACAACACAATCAGACAACACTTTCAGACAACAAAATCAGACGACACTTTCAGACGAGACTTTCAGACAACAACATCAGACAACACAATAAGACGACACTTTCAGACGAGACTTTCAAACAACACAATCAGAAGTCACTTTCAGGCAACACAATCAGACGATACTTTCAGACAACAACATCAGACAACACAATAAGACGACACTTTCAGACGAGACTTTCAGACAACACAATCAGACGAGACTTTCAGACAACACAATTAGACGAGACTTTCAGACAACACAATCAGACGAGACTTTCGGACAAACTATCAGACGACACTTTCAGACAACACAATCAGACGACACTTTCAGACAACAAAATCAGACAACACAATAAGACGACACTTTCAGACAACACAATCAGACGAGACTTTCAGACAACACAATAAGACAGCACTTTCAGAGGAGACTTTCAAACAACAAAATCAGAAGTCACTTTCAGACAACACAACCAGACGACACTTTCAGACAACACAACCAGACGACACTTTCAGACAAAACAATCAGACGACACTTTCAGACAAAACAATCAGACGACACTTTCAGACAACACAAATAGACGACACTTTCAGATAAAACAACCAGACGACACTTTCAGACAAAACAACCAAACGACACTTTCAGACAACACAATCAGACGACACTTTCAAACGTCACTTTCAGACAACACTTTCAGACGTCACTTTCAGACAACACAATCAGGCAACACCTTCAGACAACACAATAAGACGACCCTTTTTAGACAACACAATAGACAACACAAAGACGGCTCTTTCAAACAACACAATCAGACAATATTTTCAGACAACACAATCAGACCACACCTTCAGACAACACTCGTAGACAATGCTATCAAACAACGAGATCAAACAACACAATCAGACGGCATTGGTAGAAAATATAACAGACAACATGAATATAAGTTATCAGTCCTGTGTATTAATTGAAGTTGCAAACATAAGCTTTTCAGTTTAAGGTAGCTTTTTATTTCATCATTTAACACCTACTCTCTTCTTTCTATGACATTAGTGATATGTGTAAATTAAAACTATAGGAGGACATGAAGCGGTAATAACATATGCTTTAACTTACTGCTGTTGTTTTATTGATGTTCTGATCTACTTCCTTATCCAGTGTTCTAAACTGAAAATTAAAGGTTTTTGTATTTGGCTGAAAAGCTAATCTAATGCTTGGCTTTCTTGCTTTATTCTGTCCACCACCACTGCCTCTACATTCGTCCGTTAATAAAACCATAAAATTATCTCTGTTATTATGTCGGGGTGATATCTTGAAACTTAATGCATATGTGATTTGTTTTTGAAAATCATTGCCACGAAAAGCAAGAAACTTTAAAGGTTGGCTAACTATCATAGCAGCTTTCTCTGTTGAACCTGAAAATATAACAATATATGTAACAAGAAATGTACTGTTAAACTATACTTGACATAAAATATGTACTGTCAAATCTATACTTAACATAAACTATGTACTACTAAACTATACTTGACATAAAATATAACATATGTACTTCTAAACTATACTTAACGTTAAATATGTACTGCTAAACTATACTTTACATAAAATATATACTGCTAAGCTATACTTAACATAAAAGTTTAATGATTGGCATTTTTATTTAAGTTATTTAAACAGAACTAAGATTATATACGATGAAAAATTGGCAAATCCTAGCCTTGCTTCCTGTTAAATGTGTGCTATAAGAAAAGAAGGTCTCCATCAGACAATTGCAAAACGTCTTGAACGTTCATACATTTACACTGGTGTTTTAAACTGTTATTTTAGATACCTGGAACTTTCCGGTAGCGGATTCGAGGCAATTTTCCGCGTCTTTTTATGTCAACAGTTTGTATCTGATATCCCATCGCTGAGTCTTTTAAGTTCCCTTCAAATTCCATCTTTAAAATTGTTTTGCATACAAATGTCACTGTAAATATAACATTTGTTGTATTTAAAACATTGGAGATAAGTTAACAATCATATGTCTTTAATTTGTAGTATCTTCGTATTTTTGCCTTGGTAGGGCAAATTGTGAGTCTGGTTTTTCATACTTAACCTCCCGTGATACTACTGAAGACAGTGACTATCGTATGCTTTGTATTAAGAATAATCTGTGAAAACCGGGTAAGTCGGATAGACATTACAATATATGAGCCGCGTCACAACAAAACCAACGTGATGCGTTTGCGACCAGCATGGATCCAGACCAGCCTGCGCATCCGCGCATTCTGATCAGGATCCATGCTGTTCGCTTACAAACCCTATTACAAGTAGAGAAACTGATAGCGAACAGCATGGCTGGTCTGGATCCATGCTGGTCGCAAACGCATTACGATGGTTTTGTCGTGACGCGGCTCATATATTCCTTCACATGTTAACACCAATTACTTAACTTTTGGAGTTTAAATGCTCCGTTTTACAGTTTTTCAATGGTTCTGATTGGTTGGTTGATTACGTGTAGATATAAATGACTTACCTGTATTTTCTATGGGCCTTGCTTCTACTGTAGGATCATATATACATAAACATTTGTCCTGTGACCAGACTAGTGTTGCTGGACAAGTCTTGTTCACGTTAACACCCTGGTCTTTCTAAATGTTAATGTAAGATTGTACATAAGTGTTGATATATTTACATTGATACAATGGTAATTAGATCATTTGATATTCTTATTTGAAAAACTGATTTTGAAATTAAATAAAACGAGTCATAGTTATTTTACAAAACACTAAACAGTACATTTCTTAAAACAGACAGCTGTTAATTTTAGGCGTTGCCTTATGCGATAGAAACTGTTTATACCCTAATATATTTATGTTTATCTCCTAAGTGTGGACTGTACCCCAGACTCCCGCACCAATCGTTTGGATCAACGGCCACTAATTCCTCGCCGCAAGAGCAAAGATCTTGTCTCCAAACGAGGCCAGTTCCCATATTTGGAGCACAGTCTAAAGCGCCCCAACTGTTGTCTGCAGATTTCATTAAATACTTCGTCTTTAACGTGTCGTGTGGTTTGTAGTTGTCGCTGCATACTGAAAACGTTCACCAAACAATGAGAAAAACATTAGTAGACAAAACAACAATGTTATATATTGCTTCTTTATTCAAACGCCAGTACTTCAGTGTTATGGTTTTCTCGCGGTTACCACTAAATGTCGTCAAATCTTTGTTAAAGATGTTTTTGCTCTCTAGATAAAAGATTTGATATATCCATTAAACAGAAATAAAAATATCTAGTTTAATAAGTACAACATAATCCCATTTATCATAAATGACTTTCATATTGTGCTACAAATTATGATTGTATTACATGCACAAATACGACACGACGTCAAAAAATCCGTACTAATAGGGAAAAACATGCTGCTATCTTTTGATAGTGATCAATTTTTTAAAGCTAGACTTACTTGGGCTAGAAAGAGGCGTGGCTTGCCGAGCCCTCTCAGCCCATATCAGCCGAGACGTCAGTTCATTAAGTTGGAGCTTAACTATTCGCTAACTATTTTTTTTAATTGAACACGAATAAAAAAATATATCACATCTTGATGCGAGAATTGTAGAATTCAAAGGCTAATAAAAATGAAAATATAAGCTATTGAAACAAGTCCATTGAAATGGGCGGGTCTTATTTTTGATATCAGGTTACTAACCTGATATCAAAAATAATTATCAGGCAAATGTTATTTCAGTTACCATAGCAGTTCCATAAAGTACAGTATTGTTATATTAGTGTGATTCTGAATGACGTTGCTAGTGTGACGTCCTAATGTTACGGATGACATACGCTTTACACGATATCCCCATATCGAACAGATAGAACGATCAAGTGCATTATAGGACGATATATGAACAACATAAAGATGAATGCTAACATGTCATATGACGTCAGATACAACGTCATTTTAGTGTCCAGCTTTATTTGTCATCCAATGAAAACGCTGTATTTCTTAAACTAAATTAGCTCAACGCATTTTTATCAAATTTCTGTTTTGTTTACATGTACGAATGGAAATTGATATTAATTTTTCTTGCAAAATAATATAATAATGCACGGTTAATCGTTAAATGCTTTGTATCTTGATCTATATTCCTACACATATGAACTCGAATCATGCAGTATTCTACAACAATGCACTCAAAATGGATATCTATTTCCTACGTATATGTATGTTAGATACATGGAAATACATAATACGTGTCTTATAAGGTTATAGTTATGAACTGATCTATTTCTTTGGTATTTTTTGTTTATGCAATCCTGGTATAGCAATATCTAAAACTTATAAGAATATTGACTTGCTCGTGAAACATATAAGCCAAATCAGTGTCACTCTCGTAAAAATGAAGACATATTTTGTAAATTATGCTCGAATCGTACAAACCCATTTACTGCTGTTTAAAGTTTTTTTTTATCACACGAACAATAATATTGAGTCCAATAAATATGACATTGTCAAAATAGCCGGCATAAAATTGTTATCTTCAAATAAAAAGTGAATATTCGTTCAAGATATTTTAAAACTGGACTTACATGAGCCGTCGTATGCCTTTGCATTTTTCGTATCTACTGTTGGTACAACTTTTGTTGGCGGAACTTTATTGACATTAAAATTTGGCGGGGGACCAGCGGCCTCAGGCTGAATGGTTGTTGTATCATTATCAGAAAACATGTCAAAAAACATTTCTTGTCCAAAACCGGCTGAATTTTTCTCCGGTTTAGCTACCACTGCATTAGCTCTATTATCTGGCTGAACTCTGGGCTGTTTTTGTGCGATTTTCAATGGTTTATTCTTGGCAGCTACCTTTACTTGTGCAGCCATTACAGTTTTGACAACCGGTGCTTCTTTAGGTTCGATCACTAATGTTTGTAAAGTTTGTTCAGCTTCAGAAGCTGGATCGGGTGCAATAACTTCTGTATTGTTTTTTGTTGAAGGGCGTTTCTTGCGAAGACGTCGTTTAAATTTCCTGCGTTTTACTTGGCTTCGTTTCTGTGGCTGTTTTTCAACGTGTGTATTTGCTGGATCAGTACCCGTTACAGTCGGCTCATTTACTGACTCTTGATTAGCGACAACTTGTGTTGTTGGTAGAACAGTTGTTTGTTTGTTTGTGGTTGACTGACTCATAACATTTACGATATAAATTGTCACCAACACTATAACAATTGTTGTTATGTTCAAATTAGCCATCTGAAAAGAAACAAATGGAAAGTATAACATAAAATATGCTTTGTAAAATAAGAGCTGTTGTACACAAATTTACTTCGAGGTGAAAGTTGCAATCTTAAGCCAATGGGGATTGCTGTTATGTCTATTGTTTCAATGTGTTTATGTTCATGTATACAGAGCTGCCTATCTAGATAAAGACAATTAGAACTTGTGGGCTGATCTGTCACGTTGATGAAAGTTAAATACACGTATTTTCATTCGTTTTATACAATGATCTCTCTAGAGCTAGTGTAATCTGTATTTTATTGTTATGATAAATTCTTATTATTTCCATTCTATACATAAAACTTATCCCAAAGGGAATAGTATTTTGAGTTTGTTTGTTTGTTTATTTCATTTTACGCCTTTTCCCAACAGTATTTTAGTCATATAGGCGGGTAGTTCTCTAACCATCGTTCCTGGAGAGTTACACCAGTACTAGACTACCTTCCTCCGCGCTAAACTACCAAAGCATCTCCCGGGGATCGGACCCACGCCAGCGAGGTAACTGGATTAGAAGTCATCGACTCTAACCCCTCGACTACGGGGGCGGTTACAGTATTTTGAGTAATTGGAGACAAGTTCCTTGGAAACTGGTAATTAACCTTTATATCATAGTTTGGGGACCTTTCTGTTGAAAATGTATCAGACTTAAATCGTATACATACATGCACAGTGCGTTAACTGGAGTGCACGTATTAGTTACCCGCACTCCAGAGTATGCACGTTGATTGGATCATTTTTGCTGGGGTTTACTTATTGTGACGACAGAGAAAAGGAAAGCGTCAGAAATATCGTATTCAGATGCTAGTTCATTGGTTACTTTTTTCTGGGATTTCATATTGTGACTACAGGGAACGTGTTTTTATGTTCGACTATGATACAAAAGAGAAAGAACATCAAAACACTCGGCAATCTGATTAATACTCGGGGGCTACGCCCCCTCGTACAAATCAGATACCCTCGTGTTTCGATGCTCTTTCTATTACTTAGCTCTGCTGGCGGTAACCTAATATTGCACGTGCAAATTCGTGTCGTCTTATCATGGTCTACATTGTTTGCTATTCAGTCAGTCAGTACTTACTTCGAAACCTTACAATAATGAATGGTTTAGTCCAGATTGAAAGATGAATAAGTCTATTGAAGATATTATGCACGGTAAGCAGCACACCTCCGGGTACAAGCAGATGTTCATAAACATTCAGAAACTGTTTTTAATTTTACTTTAAAAAGTTAAAATATTGTTGCGATAACTTATGAACTGTTAATTTAGTTATCATAAGGTTATTAAAATCCTCATTAAATAATAAATTATGTTAAAAATATTTCGAAAGGCCAGGGGAGACTTTTCAACTTCTTGAATATTTCGATCGATTCATCTTTACGAATTTACAATTTCAACTTTATGAATTCCAGATTTCAACTTCATAAACTCGCAATTTCAACGAAATTGTGAATTCGTAAATTTGAATTCTTGTATTCACGAAGCTGAAATCATGAATTTTAAAACATGAATTCGCGAAGGGGAATTCGTGAAGTTAAAATCGTGAATTCATGAAGTTAAAACGAAAATAAAATAAACTTATCGAGTTGACTACAAAAACAAACATTAAACTCTAATACACGTGACTTGAACATAAAATGTATCATATGACAATGAATAACTATTACGTAACACAGGATCATACGTGCAGCAGATTCAGTATAGAAATATATACCTTATTGCCTATGAAACATTTTTTATGAAAATTGTATATTTTATTGTTGTATGTGATAACTTGGTAAACATAATTTATCATAATTATTTAATATAGCTGCTTGTTAAATACCTGACAAAGGAGGTTTTGTTTTATACAAAAAGTTGCGAAACCATGACAGTCCATGAATAATAAATGTCAAAATGTCACGCTAACACACCACATTGAGACAAAACAATTTTTTCTCATGTCCTTAAAACATTTCTTACAAATATTTTGTATAATCTTGCTTGTATATATAAGATAATTAATTCCAACTCCGTGTTTTCTTCTTAAATATGTTAATTTTTTTCATATTTTAAATTTTCTTTTTACGTTGTATTATGCAAACTACATTATCATAGCCGTTTATATATAGTGCGTGTGAAATATACGCAAGCGCGGCCACGCCCATTTACACGTCAAATAATGTTCATTTACATTAATGTACAAATTTTGTATATAGAAAATAAAGATACGAAATGGACAGAGTGAGAAAAGGAAAACTGAACAAAATTACCATGTTTGTAACCTGATTTACCAATAAAAAGTATTGTATTGTATTGTATTGTACTAAAGAAATTTAAGTTATAGCATTATAACCATAAACATATTTTCCTCTTAAATTTCATAATGTTAATATTTATTTAAAAAATAAATAAACCTGCCCTGTATTTTAAGATTTATTTGTTATTTAACAAAACGACACATAATAACTGTTCCCTCCAAGATTCCATACAATTTTGACACTTTTGCGGTTTAATATTTTACATTTTACACTTATTTTATGAATTAAGGTCAAAATAATATCAAGCAAACCAACATTAAAGTTCCACTACTTCTATATCAAACTATTTCAAATGATAAAGTGTTAAATTGTTTTAAAAAAGAATGGCAATTCTTGACATAACATTCAGTTCTTTTCTTAACGAACTATCGTTATTTAACACAAAGTCAGTAGTCGGTTCAGAAAAAATATGCTGCACTAATAATAAAAGCATATATCTTGAAATAAGATAATCGAAATATTGCTTCAATTTTTAATTGTCTTGAATACAATTGTAGGAAATAATTACTTACTTTTAAAATTATTCCACAGGTTTAGACGAAGTAAATGAAACCTCCAACAGATGGCAGCAAAATAACCTCCAGTCTTTTTAACTACACGACCTGTTTAACAACGTACTATAAAATACTGACGCACGTGGTCAACTCTGACGTATATTGTACAATGAACGTTTACAACATTAACGTTGTGGACATATATAGACGCGACGGCGTTGGTGTTATAACGTTATGTTTGACAATTATCACTAATATAAGTATACTATTATCATTAATAATGATTAGCAAAACTTGTCCCTTTGCCCTCGAACGACTCTGTAATTAGTAAGTTAAAAGATACCATTACATACATGCATCGGTAAGTCTTTATTAGTAAGCATTTTCATGTACAAAAATTAAATTATAGTCAAGAATGCCACAGCCGTACAACTAATTTAATTTGGTAAATGCTTACTAATAAACACTAACCAATTAAGTGTTTGAAATTATTTTGATAAACAGTCGATTTACTAGACCGATTAATACACGTAGTTAAAATGTGTTACGATTCATTTGTACGAATATTATATCAGGCACGGATCAACCGGAACGTCCATTATACATATATACTAAATATAAACGGATTCTTTATTTACAAATATTTCGAGATCAGTTCAGACTAAATTTGATTAGAAGACCTCCATGGAGAACTACAGATTTTATAAAGAAAACTGGTCGCTGGAGACGGGTATTTAAGATTCCTCGATAACATAATGTATTGCAACACTACATTTTCCGATGTACAAAACCTCACTTTTTCATTCGTTTGTTGACTTGTTTCGCCATTATTCAATAGTAAATAGAACTAATAACTTTAAGAGCGCACCAACTTTATTTCAAAATAATATTTGATGAGTCATAATCACACAATATGACATAATAAAGCACTGCTTTTAAAATACATACTAAAATGTCGTAAATATAATAAATGTACAATGTAGATCTACCGGAAAACATTCAAATGGACGATTGCAATGGATAGCAAAATGTGTATAATGATATGAATGATTTATTCTGTCAAATTTTTGTCTTCAAGTAAATCATTTATGTCAGGTGTGACGTCATCAGGGGAGACGGTATGTCCTTTGAGTAAATGTTTCCTCTTTGAGTCCACGTTGAAATTGTCGTCTGCTTCAACAGACTCGCTCTGTTCTGTATCACTGCGGAAAAATCGTGGTGCCTGACGAGATGGTGACATAGTTGAGTCTGGAACATCCTGTGATCCACCTGTATGCATGGCAACCAGGCAACGCAACTGATCGCTGGAAGAAAAAAATAATTTCTGTCATACAAGAGTTCCTGTTACGATATCTTGGTTTGTGCACAATATGAGCTTATACAGTCTATAAATATGATTTTCAGATTTATTAAGTAACAGTTATAGTATATGAAACGAGTAAGTTACGAGTAACGAGTTACTGGCTGGGGCCTCGCAATTTTTTTAGCAGAAACATCCCTCGATGTCGCCCCAGCCAGTGTTATATCCTCGTAACTAACTCGTTTCATACACTATATAACTGTTTTATCGCAATGACATAATGTTTTCTTTTTTTGTAACAGAAATAAATAAGTAAATCGTTAGCTACATTACAGCTATTTATGATAAAGCAGTTTTTTCAAGTTGTTTTCGCTGCCGCAAAAGAAAAAGATATACAAACAAGAGGGCCATGATGGCCCTGAGGTCGCTCACCTGTATATAGCCCCCCATCCCCCCGGCCAATTTTTACCCAAGGGCTTTTATTTGTTTATTTGAACAGACTTGGTAGACACCCATAAGAAGATGTTTCATGCTAAACATCTAAGTTCTAGCTCATTGGGTTTTTTAAAAGAAGATTTTTTAAGTTTTTACAATACACATATAGTTAAAAACAATGACACCCCTGGGGCAGGGCCAGTTTTGACCCCGGGCTTTTATTTGAACAAACTTTGTAGATATTTACTTAAAGATGTTTCATGCTTAATATCTAAACTCTAGCTATTTGGGTTTTTTCAAAGAAGATTTTTAAGTTTTTGCTATACACATATAAGGAAAATCAAGGACCCCCTGGGGCGGGGCCAGTTTTGACCCCAGGGCTTTTATTTGAACATACTTGGTAGACACCCATTAGAACATGTTTCATGCTAAATATCTTAGCTCTAGCTCTTTGGGTTCTTTAAAAGAAGATTTTTTAAGTTTTTACTATATGCATATAGGGAAAATCAAGGACCCCCTGGGGCGGGGCCAATTTTGACCCCAGGGCTTTTATTTGAACAAACTTGGTAGACATTCACTAGAAGATGTTTCATGCTTAATATCTAAGCTCTAGCTCTTACGGTTCTTTAAAAGAAGATTTTTTAAGTTTTTACTTTATGCATATAGGGAAAATCAATGACCCCCGGGGCGGGGCCAATTTTGACCCCAGGGCTTTTATTTGAACAAACTTGGTAGACATGCACTAGAAGATGTTTCATGCTTAATATCTAAGCTCTAGCTCTTACAGTTCTTTAAAAGAAGATTTTTAAGTTTTTACTATATGCATATAGGGAAAATCAATGACCCCCTGGGGCGGGGCCAATTTTGACCCCAGGGCTTTTATTTGAACAAACTTGGTAGACACTCACTAGAAGATGTTTCAATGCAAATATCTTAGCTCTAGCTCTTTGGGTTCTTTAAAAGAAGATTTTTTAAGTTTTTACTATATGCATATAGGGAAAATCTATGACCCCCTGGGGCGGGGCCAATTTTGACCCCAGGGCTTTTATTTGAACAAACTTGGTAGACACTCACTAGAAGATGTTTCATGCCAAATATCTTAGCTCTAGCTCTTTGGGTTCTTTAAAAGAAGATTTTTTAAGTTTTTACTATATGCATATAGGGAAAATCAATGACCCCCTGGGGCGGGGCCAATTTTGACCCCAGGGCTTTTATTTGAACAAACTTGGTAGACACTCACTAGAAGATGATGCATGCCAAATATCTAAGCTCTAGCTCTTAGGGTTGTTTAAAAGAAGATATTTAAAGATCTTTCGGTTGCCATGGCAACCAGAGTTCTGCATGGAATTAAATTCTTTGATTTTTAAAGGTGACCACCAAAGGAACATTCCTGTGAAGTTTGGATGAAATTGGCTCAGTGGTTTATGAGGAGATGTCATTTAAAGCAAAAGTTTACGGACGGGCGACGGACGGACGGACGCCGGACGAAAAGCGATCACAAAAGCTCACCCTGTCACTTTGTGACAGGTGAGCTAAAAACATCCAATGTTAGAGGCGGATTGTAAACTGTTACAAATGTTGATTCAAGATTAAAGGGCTTTTTTCAGTGGAAATAATTCTTTTAACGGATGTACCTTTTGATTAAATGAGTGTAAATTTCATTTTATTGTATTTATTTATTTTATTTTATTGATTCCTTTTTTTTTTGCTACTGAGAATGTTCGTTACCCCTGCCCCATTGGAGCCTCTGTGAAAAAACTACACTGCTATATAGCAGTCGAGTTTTTTTCTTATATGAATCAATGAAAAAAACTGTACTGTTATATATCAATACAGTTTTCAAATGCTCATTGAAGTGTACTGAGTATAACGGGTTAGTAAGAACAAAGGAAAAGTTCCAAACCATGCGATAACTTTGACTAGGGGTTACTCATTTAAAAAAAAAATGAAAAACAAATATATTATAAGAATTGAACTTACTGTATATTACGGAGTGTATTTTCTTGACGTACAAGCCTATGTTGAATTGTTAGCAGGTTCATTTTATGATTATCTAATGTATCCCAGATGTCTTTTACATATTTGTTCATCTCATTTAGAGGAGGGGACTCCCATTTAGTGAGTACATCTTTCAAATCTTCGATATCTTCATACTCTTTATAGTTGGCTTTTCTGAAGTTCTGAAAGATTAAACAATAAAGAAAGGGTTATTTAAATATATATCCGAGTCACAATGCGAGGGTTATATTGCAAACAATCATTTATGTAGGGTCATATCACAGTTCAAGAACCTTTATAACGAATTTATTATACAGCAAATTAAACTACTTTTATTTGAGGAAAAAAATAAGAAAAAACACAAATGGTCGTGTAAAAATGAGTAGTTCATATAAACATCAATATTATCCAATGAAAAGCGACGTTACAAAAGTGTAGTATGATATAATCGGCAAGATGTAAGGGCTGTATATTTACACTGTACATCAAATGATAGTAATAAAATGCACAACAATACGGACAAAATACAACACAAAAATAATGGAAATGTTTCGACCGTAACATTGCATGTATCTAACTGCATGGTTCCCTTATTATAACAAGAATGATGGTAATTGTAAAGGTCAATTAGACTACACGGCTGCAACATGAAACAAAGAACCATTTTATTCTGGCATAAATAGTTTAGGTTTACAAGAAACATATTTGCAAAAACATTGGTTTGGATAAATTATTTCGTTTGCCATCAGAATATATTACTGGAGAACGACTTACCTGCCCGATATAGAAACTATTTAGCTCCACCCTGGCAACAATCCACGCTCTGTTGACCTCTAACCCTCTCTGTGCGTCTTGTTGTACCTTCTGATAGGTGTCCGTCAATTGTGCAATAAGGATGTTGAGGAGAATAACAATACACGTAAACAGGAAGATTACCATAAATATTACACTGACAGTCCTAAAATATAATATATTAATATTAAAAATGTCTCTTACAAAATAAAACATGTAGGTATTCCAAAATAAATATGGTCAGTAAATGATTAAATGATAATAAATAATAATAAATGCAATTTCAGGTTATAACACTAAAATATGAAATAAATGATCAAGAAATCACGTATAAATACCGGGAGTAAATTACATGTAAGTATTTCTAAACTTATCAGGATTTAATTTGAAATTTTAGATACCAGTAAAAGACTTAGAATATTCTGAATGAAAATCAGAGTCTGTCTTATTTGTGTCGATCATAAGAAATCCACAACAACTTGACAGTACATTAAATTACTTAAGCACGGTCGTGGGAACATATTAGTTTTAGTTTCCATAAAATATCAAAAACACATTTTAACAACGACCAAATTCAATATCTTACCAATACACCTACTATGTTCCCCCGTGTAACCTACAACTATCTTCCTTTACCAAAATCCCTTTTCTCTGCTGTAACTGACCCATATTCATTCTTCCGTGAAACTCACTTATATCCTTTCTTCCGTGTAACTTACCAATATCATTTCCTCTGTGTAAATTACTCACATAACATTATATTAAATTAACCAAACTTCTTGCTCATTGACAATATTATCCGAATTTCACCACCCGGTCAAACGTTCAAATTCTCCATAATGCATAACTTACCGTCGTTACCAATTTCTTCATTTACTTTCCTAACTTACTTATTCATGTCTATGCTTATTATTGATTAACCATTTCCCTTCTTTACATGCGTTATTTATCAACTTCTTTTCTATACATGCGATCTTTACATGCGAAATTTACTCATTCCCGTTATTTACATGCGAAACTTACCTGTTTCCATTCTTTACATATGTAACGTTCAAATTTCCCTTCTTTACATATTTAACTTGCAAATTTCTCTTCTTTACTTAAGTAAATTACTTGTTTACCTTCTTTACACGCCTAACATACTGTGTGTAACTTACCCATATCCTTCCTCCCCCGTGTAATCCACCACTGGTTGAGCCTCAGTTAAAGACCGCACACCGACAAATACAATTCGCCAAAATGTACTGAAACATGTTCAGGTAAATATGAAATATATCTGATGTAGGTAGGTAAAATTCGAGGTTTTATTATCACTTTAAAATATTGATAACAGAAGAAGCGGAGACGTCTGAAAAAAGCGAAGAAAATGGACCCGATCAGTATGAAAGAAGAGACTATGACCTTAATGTAAAGAAATCATTGTAAAAGAAACTACATGCAACAGAGCGAGAAGATGTATCGTTAATAGAAACTGCTGGAGGTCTTAGAATAATTCATATATAGTCTTTAATAACCTCGGGCGTTGAACTTAGCATATGTTTGATATCCTTATATATGCGAGTGTAGTTTATATTGCATGGTAAAATGTTACATGTGTCAAAATTATGAACATGTAGTAACATTTCTATTTATTAATATGATAATATTCGAGAACTGATACATTCTATAAAAATGTTAAAGAATTTTCATATTTTGAAAAGAAAGTTACCTTGTTTCTGTGTGTGTGTCCAGATCATTATCTCCCCTTAATGACAGGAAGAATGATCCACTAAAGGCGAGGAGTATAACAAGGAAGACAACTCCAAACTGGATAAAATCATGGGCGATAATTCTGGCAAGTATCTGTGTATACGCACCTGTTTGTCTTCATATAAAACAAATGTACGTGCAAGTCAATTAAAGCAACTGATTAACATTCAATTGTAGTATACATCTTACATGTTTCTTACAAATATATATACATGAATATAAATATGTCTGAAAAAGATGTCTGGCTGGTCATATTTAAACGAGTGTATCATAAAGTAAGTGTACTATTATGAATGAAATACATGTACTTATTTAATCTATTGTTTCAAACCGACACATTGCTACACGTACTTATTCAATCTTCAGTTTCAAAACGACACATTGCTACACGTACTTATTCAATCTACAGTTTCAAAACGACACATTGCTACACGTACTTATTCAATCTTCAGTTTCAAAACGACACATTGCTACACGTACTTATTCAATCTTCAGTTTCAAAACGACATATTGCTACATGTATCTATTCAATCTACAGTTTCAAATCGACACATTGCTGCACGTACTTATTCAATCTTCAGTTTCAAAACGACACATTGCTACACGTTCTTATTCAATTTTCAGTTTTTAAACAACACAATTCTACACGTACTTATTTAATCTACAGTTTCAAACCGGCACAATGCTACATGTACTTATTCAATCTACAGTTTCAAACCGACACAATGCTACACGTACTTATTCAATCTACAGTTTCAAACCGACACATTGCTACACGTACTTATTCAATCTTCAGTTTCAAACCGACACAATGCTACACGTACTTATTTAATCTACAGTTTCAAAACGGCACAATGCTACATGTACTTATTCAATCTACAGTTTCAAACCGACACAATGCTACATGTACTTATTCAATCTACAGTTTCAAACCGACACATTGCTACACGTACTTATTCACTCTACAGTTTCAAACCGACACATTGCTACACGTATCTATTCAATCTTCAGTTTCAGAACGACACATTGCTACACGTACTTATTTAAGCTTCAGTTTTAAAACGACATATTGCTACACGTACTTATTCAATCTTCAGTTTCAAAACGACACATTGCTACACGTACTTATTCAATCTACAGTTTCAAAACGACACAATGCTACACGTACTTATTCAATCTTCAGTTTCAAAACGACACAATGCTACACGTACTTATTCAATCTACAGTTTCAAAACGACACAATGCTACACGTATTTATTCAATCTTCAGTTTCAAACCGGCACAATGCTACACGTATTTATTCAATCTTCAGTTTCAGAACGACACATTGCTACACGTATTTATTCAATCTTCAGTTTCAAACCGGCACAATGCTACATGTACTTATTCAATCTACAGTTTCAAAACGACACAATGCTACACGTATTTATTCAATCTTCAGTTTCAAAACGACACAATGCTACACGTACTTATGCAATCTTCAGTTTCAAAACGACACATTACTATACGTTTATTTTACCGTTTCCAAACGACACATTGCTAGATGTACAAACCTATTTAATATATCCTTTCAAAACGACATATTGCTACACGTAATAGTACTTATATACTAATAATATATTGTTTCAAAAAGACATATTGATTCACATACGTGTGATTATTTAATCTATCGTTATTTTTTCAATTTCTAAATAAATCGGCATCGTACTTGGACACAACTACCCTTTGGATAAGACCTTCAAGTAGACAAGACTGAACTTGACCTTGACTCATAATGGCCTTCAATGTCGAGTGTTTGAATTTTGCTTATATTTTGCTATATTTGACTTCATTTCTTTTGAATGGGTTGTCTTCGTATATGGACACAACAATTCTTTGGACAAAACCTTTAAGTAGACCAAATTGATTATGATCTGCACTCATCAATGATTTTGGCCTTGAAAGTTAATGAATTTTCTTGTTTTTTGCTAAAATTGACAATTGAATAGATTTTCTACATAATTGGAATCAATAATCCATTGGATAAGGCCTCTTAAAATAGACAAAATTGATTCTGGCCTTAATTTATCAATGTACCTTTACCCTGAAGATCAAGTTATTTGAATGCCACAGTTTTTGCTATGACTGGCTAAACTTTGTAAATATTGCACATTTTGTCTTCATTCTTGTGCACAACAATCATTTGATCAAGTCAGTAAAGAGATTTTATAACTGACATGATGATTAATTGAAATGGTGACTGACCATTTATTGATCTTGACCGTCAATTTCAAGTATGAAATTTGGATTTCATTTGTTACAAAAAAATGTAGGAGTACTCTTTACTAAATTATTCTTTCTCATTTGTGTTTGACTTCAGAAATAAGAAAAATTCGAGAGTGGCTCCCGCTAGGCGTTTAGTTTAATTTTGTTTACTTACTTGTTTCATCATTCAAGTCAGTCGGTCGCTTTAATCTGTATATCAATAAAGGGGTAAATAGTTTAGTAAATTTTAATAATTTTGTGTATACCTAAATACAGCGGCAAATTTAAAGATCCTGATGGTCCAAAAGAAATATCCGAACGCAAACACGTGCCACTGAGCCTCGTTGTGAGTGAATCTCAACGGAACAACACATATTAACAAAATAGCAGACGACAAGTCAAACCAATTAAATGCATCATGGAAATATTCTAGTTTATGTCTGAAAATAGATAGAAAGAAATAAAGATAAAGTAGAAAATAAAATTTCCGAGAGGAAAACAATACATGTTAAAATGAATCAGCTAAATGATTTCTTGCGCGTCGTGAAAGACATAACTGATCACTTTTATTGTAACAACACATCACGTGACTCACCTTCTCATCTGATTTATTTCTGTAAATAATGTTTGACCTATCATAACAAGGGACAGCACCTCAAACACTGCACGAGAAACTTGTAAGGCACCGTTATACACCGCCGGGTCCGGTGACGTCACAGCAACAATAGCGGAATAAGTGATACAAAACCCCCCAAGAATATTCATTTTTAATGAAAAAAAGGGAAAAAAAAAAATGGCAATTGTTTATAATGGGGTACGCCCCTTAAAAACAGATAGTGTTTTTTTCTGCTTTTTATTTAAAAGAGTGCAGGCGATTTTTCTATGTCAACAAAACCCCTTTAAAAATTTTTTTGTTATACAACTGAAATATCAAGTTTTTTAAGAGCTCCAT